AAAAAGCAAAAGACATTCAAAGGAAGAATGTCGCCCCCACCTTCTGTCTCGTGGGGGTACGACTTATTGACTAAGAAGATGATGGAGGAGAAGAGTAGACTTCGACGGTCGGAGTTAGCCTCTTACGGTTTAAGCGAAGAGCGATTCCTCCACCATCTCCTCCAAAACGTCACCGGAAGTGGAAGAGGGCGCGTACAAAGCCTTCTGGTGACATGACGTCAGCTGGAAGCCCAAGAAATTGCTTGCTCGGATTGTAAGTAAAAGAAGTTAATTTACTTTGAATTAGTTATATGTAACATGTTCATTAATAAAATTAACTTTTATAATGTAGGATGCCTTGGAGGAGCGGTGTACACAGGGAACTTTCATCCCTTCCGGTCGTCGGGATATCTTGACCATCTGTTATTGGACGACCGGAACATCCAGGTCGTGTTCGAGCTGTTGGCCAATGTGTGGGTGTCCGACGGTATTTTGGACCACCATCACGGGATATCTGCACCTCCACATCCACCGAGCCAAGAAGATATTGCTGCCTTGGAGATGGCTCTCACGGAGAAATTGACACCGGCCATCGGGGCAAAATTGGAGGAAGAGTTGACTCCTGCCATCGGCGCACAACTTGAGGAGACCATCATTGCACGTGTGCGGGAGCGGTTCCTGCGTATGACCTCCATGGGTACTTCATTTGCTGATGATCATCCTCCATCAGGTGCATTTTCAACCACAAATTGGTACTTGACTTGTGTTTCTAAAATCTTAGTCCTTATTGGAATTTACTCGTATTTGTAGGTCCAAGAGTTAGCACAAAGGGCAGTTGTCTTGAAGCCACTATCGAGGTCACACCCGAGGTGGCATCTATTCATCCCGAATCCACAAAGGATGATCGATATGGCTTGTGGGTTGAGGTAGATGAAGGTCTAAGGCTAGTGGCCCATGGATCGGTTCATGAAGGGGTTTCAACCATCCACAATGTGCCTTTGGATCCTAACTTGGTCAAAGTAGTGGTTGAAAAGGTGGTTGACGCTGCGGCTAGTGTCCCTATCCCCACTGAAGAGGTGCAGACGGTGGGCCAAGCCCTTCGGACCTTCATTACTTGGCCCAGACATTTAGTTAGGTCAATAATGGCAAAGGTATGTATATGTATGGTTATAATACATCTAACACATAAATAAATTGATTTATTGTTTATGATTATATTTTATAAAATATGTAGGATGTTCGGCAGCCAAAAGACTTGGGTAAAGCTATTGTCACTCCTTCGCATCTAAGGAGAAGACACCGAGTTGTGGAGACTTCTCCAAATCCAATTTTTGATCTCTTGTCTCTGTCCCCATAATTGTATCTGCAGTCATTCCAAGTTTCATGGGATTGTACATTATTTGGGATGGCTTCTAGCAATATCCCCCTATACATTTCCCACACTTGATGCCCTGGAGATTGGGATGGGCAATCAATGTCTAAATATAAGTTGTTTTACAATTTTGGACATTGTAAGTTCATATCTTTCATGACTCTTTTCATTTTAGTAAATATATAAGCTATAAGTTCACTTAAATTGGCATATTTTAGGATGATGCACGAAATGATAGTGGAGCGGGGCATTGGTCATGTGTATGGATTCTTCGAGTCTCAATCCATACAAAAGTGCTGGGAATAAGCGTGATCAAATTCTCGGTTACATGCGAGAATTGGATGACTTGTTTCTAAAAGAGATATTTACCTTGGAGCATACCATCATTCGTAAGTTATCACGGCCTCTTACTGGTTTTACACAAGTTTTTTTAATAGATTCTAATCATGTGTATATACAGAAACCATCGGCAGCTATTAGTTATTTGTCCAAAGCGAGAATCTTGTGTGTTGGTTCTGCTCATTGGGAAGAAAACCGGACATGGAGCTAAAAAATATTGTAAACGAGTAAGTATTTATTATATTATGTCTAAACATCTTGATTATTCTATTTCTAAGCCCCTTCTTTTCAATATATAGTGCTTTAAAGGTTTGTAGTACATTAGATGGAAAACACACAAGTAAAAGCACGACTCCAAATTGGAATTTTATCAAAGTAAGTAGCCTTTATATATATTATACTATCTATTAATTTACGTTCAAATTTAATAGTTATTTTTAACATATTTACTCATTTTTAGTGTAACAAACAAAATGGAGGCTACGAGTGCGGCTACTATGTAATGTATTGGATGTGGCTCATCGGTTTTGGTAGCATTCGGGATAGTTGGGACGAGGTAAGTTGACATTTGCTATTATATTCAATTCCTTTATTTTTATTGCTTAGGGTTTACCATTCTATTATTGTGAACTTCTTACGGGCATTTAAAGATATAGAACCTTTGCCTATGGATACTATAGACATGGTTAGAAACAAATGGGCAGAAAAGTTTGTACAAGTAGTTAGGAATAATAGGATTGATTGATAATTTTTGTGTATTATGTACATAATGTGGGTGGACTGAAATTTTTGTGTATTGTGTAAATATATAGTGATTAGGTGAAAAGACCTGGTTGAGATTTTTGTATATTGTGTATATATTGTGTAAATACAGTTTGGACTGAGATTTACGGACTGAGATTTATAGCGGGTCGTGTATGGTAGCACAAAAACAGAACAAAATTTAAAAAAAAAGGGATATTCTACGTCGGTTATTGCATTAACAGAGCGTTGTAACGTCGATCGCTTGAGCGAAACGTCGGTCGCTTGAGCGAAACAGACACCGAGAGTCCCCTTTGTTTGAAGGCTTCGTCGCTCAGCGAGTACACGGTCGCTTGAGCGAGAAAGGACTTTCAACGTCGGTTAGTTCAATGTCCGACGTAGAAATGAGTAAATTCTACGTCGGTTATTGAACTAACCGACGTTGAAAGTCCTTTCTCGCTCAAGCGACCGGTGTACTCGCTGAGCGAACAGCACTCCAAGAGTCCCCTTTGTTTGAAGGCTTCGTCGCTCAGCGAGTACACCGGTCGCTTGAGCGAGAAAGGACTTTCAACGTCGGTTAGTTCAATAGCAGACGTAGAATTTACTCATTTCTACGTCGGACATTTGCTTAACCGACGTAGATGTCTAACACTTTCAACGTCGGGTATTACGAGCAGACGTAGAATCCTTTGACATTCAACGACGCTCTGATTCAACGACGTCATTGGAACCGACGTTGAAAGCCTTCTACACCCGACGTTGAATGCTCATTCTGCAGTAATGCACAGTAAAAAAGTGCGGAGTTTAACCTTTTTTTTTTTAATTTATGGTATAATACATGTTTTTCTTATAGTATTAATTTTAATTAGTTTTCTTAAGCTGTGGTTAACAAAATTATTAAAAGTGGCAAAGCATTTATTGTATAATACTAAGCATTAATAATTTCCTTACTTTTATACAATAGATGTATTTACATTTTGTATTTTAAATAATTATTAAAAATATTTTTATGTTAAAATAGTTAATTTTATTTAATATATGATTTTAATATATATATATATATATATAAAATAGTTAATATATTTAATATATGATTTTAATATTAATATATATATATATATATTTAAAAAAGTTATATATATATATATATATATATATATATATATATATAAACTACAAATATTGTTCACTAAAATAATATAAATGGTTTATGAATATTTTTCACTCAAATATTATATAAGTTATATGTGAAAATTAATGACCACCGCGTCTTCATTCAATGCAATGAATAAGAGACCTATTTTTTTTTATAAGCAAATAATATCAATTAATTAAACTTAATAAAGGGATATTTAGATCTCAAAAATAGAGTACAATATAAAGCAAAGAAAAATTATTAAAATACACAATAAATGAAACAGATCCAAAGATTATTGTGTCGGTCTACAAGGCTAAAAGATATTCTCATACTAACCGAAGAGATCCACTTCCAATAATAAAGGCGAATAGAATCAAACAACTTCAATCGATTCACAACGTCTTGTTTAAAGACCACACAATTCCGATGCAACCAAATGAACCATATGACTGTAACCTAAACAATAACAAAGTAATGGGATCGTTTTTTACTTCTCCTTTAACCATACCAAACAAGAAATAAGAGACGTATTATATATATTTATATTTATAATTATCTTATAAAATTTATACTCAGAAGTGAAACCAATTGACAAATCATCCAAAAGAATATTAATCAATCTTAACATAAAAATACTTTATTAATCATCTAAGTTACCAAAACAGATTTTATTACATATTTTTTACATTTTAAAAATATTGAAAATAACTACTTTTCAGTAAATATTTCTTTAACGTTTTTAACACATCAATTAGAAAACTTATGATATATTATAATTTTAATCCCCTTTAAATGTTCACACGGCTTCTATTTTTATTTTCACAATTTTAATCTTTCAATTAAAAAAAACTTGTAATTTTTATTTAATTTAGTTATTATTTTTATAAAGTTGTGAACTAAACCATATTGAAAAAAGAAAAAGAAAAAGAAAAAAACTATACAGACATACGTATTCAAAGAATCTTACGATGTTAATAATTTGTTTAATATATTTACAAAATATAATTTAATTAGTTAAAATATAAAAATTAAACATTATAAAATAAAAAATTGGACCATTTTTTTAAAATGATAGATATTAAAATAATGAATAAAATAAAAATAATCGAAATTATATATTAAAAAGGTAAAATTATAATGTAGTCAAGAATATGTTATCAATTGTTTCAAAAACTGACAAAACAAAGGGACAAATCCATATCATTCTCCTCTCTCCTTTTACTCTTTCTTCTTAAAAAAAAAAAAAAAATTAATAATGACAAACAACGTAGTTTTAATAACTCAAAAAATGACCATGAGTTGTCTTGTGTAACACAATGATAAATACAAAAATTACAAGAAGTCAATGAGATATTGTTTTTCCACTGTGTTTGATTGCATATATAAATACACGTCACAATCATCTTCTCTGTTACAAGAATCCAAACAGTCATGGCGAATACTGCATCTTCTTCTTCTTCGTCCTCTCCTCACTGCACCATTTTCAAGGTAATAAAAACACCAACCTGCATCCTCATTCTACTTCTCTGCATCGCCTCCTACTTCCTTGCCGCGTACCACCAAGGAGCGCCCCTAATCACCACCGCCACCACCGCGGCCCTTTCCTTCTCCCTCTCCGCCTCTGCGCCATGCAACCACCTCACCGCCGAATCTTCTAAAATCTTCTCACGCTGCAGCGTCAACTTCAGCGAGTACACGCCCTGCGAGGATCCTCATCGCTCTCTAGGGTACACACGGGACAGAATGATATACCGAGAGAGGCACTGCCCGGAGAAACCCTTGAAATGTAGGATTCCTGCCCCTCACGGTTATCGAAACCCCTTCCCCTGGCCGGCGAGTAGAGACCGCGCGTGGTTCGCTAACGTCCCCCACCGTGAGCTCACAGTGGAGAAGGCTGTGCAGAACTGGATCCGCTCCGACGGCGAGCGGTTCGTTTTCCCCGGCGGCGGAACCACCTTCCCCAACGGCGCCGACGTCTACATTGAGGACATCGGAAAGTTGATTAATCTTAAAGACGGCTCTATTAGGACTGCCCTCGATACTGGCTGTGGGGTAATTATCCTTCTTTCACTCTTTTTCTCCTTAAAATTTATTATTTTTTACGTGTCATTTTAAAAATAATTACTGTAATGGAAAAATTAATTACTCTTGCGCATCTTTTTTATTTTTGGACAATAGTTTCAATATAGTAAAAAATTACACACATTCACACGTTTAAATTTGTTAATAGAAATCAGGCAATACAGATCTTCAATGCCTATTTAAAATTTGATTTATCTTCATATATAATTCCCAATTATTGACGACATAAATTTGTATTTCATATTGTTTAAATTTTTTTTTCTCGTACATAAAAAGAAAAGCAATAAAACAATTAATGAATGGGAAAAAATTTAAAATGTACTTATATTCTTATTTATTTCATCCTTTATACTTATTACATATTTAAAACAGACAATAATTATATTTATTTTTTCTATAAAAAACATGATTTTATAAATATATGGTTGTCCTTCCATTTAATTAATATTTGTAATGTATTAGTGACAGTTGTCAGATTAAAAACATGAATTTATTAGGAATAATATTAAAATAAAATTATAATATTATATTGAGAAATATAAATAACAGTTAATTTTGAAAATTATAAAAATAGTTTAAACTGTGTTGAACGGAGGGAGGAGCTTATTTGTTAGTGATGAGAGTGAAGTAATATTTATGACATTTGTTTATATCTGGGTTGCGGGTTCATATCACACACGTTACAAAAAGGTGTTCGTTATCAATTGTTTTCGAGAAAGGAGTCAAATAAAACGAATTGTAACTGCCTCTTAGTCCATTCTTTTACCTCAATTGTTTATATTAAATATTAACTTTCTGAGCAAATTTTGTAATAGCTCAGTTTATTAAGGTGGATTGGTATATTACAGCTCAAAATGTATTCAATTTTAATTTAGTTTTCTAAAGAATTAACTGTTTCTTTAATCTTATTATTTATTTATTGTGTTTAATTTAATTTTAGTATTAGTAAAAAGTTACTTAAATCTTTTATATCTAATTAATAATAAAATCATTAACAAACAAATAATGACTATTTTAATGTACGGATAGCATACATGTCACAAATTACATAAAAAATGCAACTCTTTATTTTATATTTTAAAATTGACATAGTTTAAGTTAAAAATTTTGATAAAACATTTTATTAACATAGGATCAAATTAAATTACAAAAATAAAAATTAACAGTAAAAAGCCGTTATAAAAAAAAAAAAACCCTTTAGACTAACCATTGAAAACATTTTCGTTATTGTTTTACTTATTCATAATCTAAGAAAGTAAAAGACAACACAAATTGGAAGAGTTGCACAAAATTTGTTTTCGCTTGGTTGTTTTTCTTAAAAGCATATAACAATGCGGCAAATGGCTTGGAGCCAATGTTTTAATTTTCGTATTTTGGTTCTTTAAAAATATTTTAAAATTATATTATAATCACACTTGTCAATGAAAAAAAAATACTCACTTTGAATCCAAAACTCACACTTTGGGGAAAAATATAGAATTCCATTATAAATCTAATTAATTAAACCATTTTTTAAAAATTTGTACTGCTTAATAAGTCACAAGACCACTTTGTTTTTTATTCCTCTCAAATATTATTATTTAACTCATGTTTTGTTCAAATAATTCACATTCATTTTATTATTTTTTATAATTAAAAAATACTATATCTGCAATTTATTGCTATCTAATAAAGTAGAACTGTTATTATCGATAGGAAACACAATGTTATTATATATATATGTGTGTGTGTGTGTCTGAACTTTCATTTTTTTTATTATTATTTATATATTTTTAATTAAAAAGTTTAGTTATATTTGGAAGTGTATTACATGGTAATCTTACATTCCGACTAATAAATACTATATATGCAGGTAGCGAGTTGGGGAGCGTATCTTCTATCTCGCAATATCCTAACATTGTCAATTGCGCCAAGGGACACCCACGAAGCACAAGTTCAATTTGCTCTTGAGCGCGGAGTTCCTGCACTGATTGGAATCCTTGCCTCTAAGAGGCTACCTTTCCCTGCAAGAGCTTTTGACATGTCCCATTGCTCTCGCTGTCTCATCCCTTGGGCTAAACATGGTATTATGCTACATACTTCATCATCGCATAACAAACTATATAATATATATTTGAGACCTTGTTGAATCTTACTTTTGACTTGTTAATAGATGGAATTTTCCTGAACGAAGTGGATCGAGTTCTACGCCCTGGAGGATATTGGATTCTATCTGGGCCACCAATCAACTGGAAGAAATACTGGGAAGGATGGAAAAGATCAAAGAAGGACTTGAACCAGGAGCAGACCGAAATTGAGGAGTTAGCCAAGAGCCTTTGCTGGAACAAGCTAGTGGAGAAGGATGATATAGCTATCTGGCAAAAACCCAAAAACCATTTAGATTGCAAGGTCAATCGTAACCTCACCCAAAACCGGTCTTTTTGCAATGCTCAAGATGACCCTGACAACGCCTGGTTTGTCCAACCTCCTTGCATGTGTTATGTTTACTGTTCACGTGCCAAGTTTTTTTGCATTCGCCTTATAATTATTTTGCTCATCTTCAGGTATACCGAAATGAAGACATGTTTGAGTCCTGTTCCTGAAGTGTCAAACAAAAAAGAAACTGCAGGTGGGGTGGTGGATAATTGGCCAAAGAGATTGAAATCCACCCCACCAAGGATTTATAAGGGTACCATAGAAGGGGTTACATCTGAAACTTATTCAAAAAATTATGAACTGTGGAAGAAAAGGGTATCATATTATAAGACAGTGAACAAACTACTAGGAACTGGCAGATACCGTAATCTTTTAGATATGAATGCCTACTTGGGTGGATTTGCCGCTGCACTAATTGACGACCCCGTTTGGGTCATGAATGTGGTTCCTGTTCAGGCTAAGGTTAACACACTTGGAGCAATATATGAACGTGGGTTGATTGGAATATATCATGACTGGTTAGCACAATACCTTGTCTCATATTTGATGAATCTCTTATATACAATATGTATGAATGGATTGCTTGGCTCTCATGCAGGTGCGAAGCAACGTCTACTTATCCTAGAACTTATGATCTAATCCATGCTGATTCAGTGTTCAGCCTTTACAATAACAGGTAATATATGTTGAATAACAAGTTTTACTTTTCAATGCCAAAGTTTTGAGTGTAGAATTTTATATGTAACTTCAACATGTAAAACACTAAAGCTCTTCATTTTTCTATTGATATAGTTTTGCAAGATTCAGACACTGTAAAATGCAACTAACGAAATTGTGTGTTGTAGATGTGAACTGGAAGACATTCTATTAGAAATGGATAGGATTCTTCGACCTGAAGGATGTGTTATCATCCGAGATGATGTTGATATATTGGTCAAAGTAAAAAGAATCATCAATGGATTGGAATGGGATAGTATAATTGTAGATCATGAAGATGGGCATCTTGAAAGGGAGAAACTTCTCTTTGTTGTGAAGAAGTATTGGACAGCTCCACCAACTTCAGACAACACAAATTAATTAAAATCTTTTTTTTTTTTCTGTCAATCTTTCTTTTTAATGTTTTAAGTTTACTATTTAATTTAATTTTTCTTATATTTTTTAAAGGTAGGGGTATAAGCAAGCACTTTTTTGACCCATGCAAATTGTAACTGTGAGTATTGTTGTGTTATATACTTCATTAAAGAGAGTGATTCCATATGATTTCACTAAAACTGGAATATCACTCTTTAAATTCTTCATAGAAAGGAAAAAAAAATCAAATAAGTTTTTTGTAAACTATAGACATGAACTAATTCCATAAAAAAAATTCTTTCATATTATTTTTTAAAATTAAATTTTTAATTTATACATAAATAAATTTTAACTTATAGAAACTTATTTTATATAGGTGTTTGTAAAACAATTTATCTAAATAAATCCATAATTACATGGACGGCTACTCACAGTTTTAACAAAATTGGCAGCTTTTGGTTTGAAAATATTTTATTATCATAAATAGTTGCAACAAATATATAATTTATTTTAACTCTAATTTTTATTTTAAAAAATATGTAATTTTTTCAAAAATATTCACCATATAAATATTTAAACGCAAAGAAATAAAATGAAAATAGAATAACACTTTTATATAATGAATTTATAAATAAAATATTTTAAAAAAATTACTCAAATAAAATCTCAATCAATTTATCTATCCAAGTATGATTCTTTTTTATATGCAATTTTTTCCCATCTCATCATTATTTTTTATTTATTTTGTTTCCCATTCACTCCTTATTTTTCTCTTTTTTATTGTTGGTGTCCTGTTTCTCTCTTTCCTCTTCTCCTTATTCTCATAATTAAACTACTGTATTAAAATTTAATAAAAATATGTTAAAACAAATATTTTAAAATCAACATTAAAACTAAAAAAACTAACTAATTATTTAAAATTATAATTACAATAAATAATTTTATTTATTTTGACCGTTAATAAATTTATTTACTATAATTTAAATAATTAATTTAAAATTATTTTATCATAATAATAATAATGACTCATCTAAATATTTATGAGTTAAATATATTTTTTACTTAATAATTTAATATAGTTATAATTATGTTGAGTTATGATAATTAGTTAAATTAGGTAATTTAAAAAAATATATTAAAAGATTATTTTAAAATAAATATGTAATTTTTTCTTAATAATTATAACATAATAATAATATTTTTAACCTTCCAAATTTATCATATAATATTTTCTTAAAAGAGAAAAAAAAGAATAAAAGATAAATAGTAAATGAAGAGTGAGAAAAAAAATAACAAAAAGCAAATAAAGAATTAGAAAAAAAAAGATAAGGAAGAAGAGACAATAATTATATTATATTAGAGAAATTTATTTTTACTATGTATAAAGTTTAATAAATAAATTTAGAGAGATTCGATAATTTTTTTTAATTATATTATTTATGAAATTGATTCGAATTAATATCATAAATAATATATTTAATAAAAAATTACTTAAATATAATATTTTTATGTTTATTTATTCAATTAAACATGTTTATAGTTCATACATAAAATCTAATAAGAAAAAATAAATTCCTATGACATAAATAAATGTTTTTCTTTTTTTCATTTATTTTCTTATTTTTCACTCTTTTTATTTATTTATTTTTACTTTATTTTATTTTTTTAATTAAAAATAATAGATTAAAAATTGATAACATAAGTATTTTATTATTAATGAAAAATTAAAATATTTACACAATCCATAATTACTAATATTAATATATTACATTTGAAAAAATATTGTATGATAAATTTAAGGTATAACAAATATTATTGTTATGATATAATTATTAAAAAAAGTTAAATATTTATTTTAAAGTATTTTTTTAATAAATATTTTTTAAAATTATCTATTTTAATTAATTATCATAACTTAAAATTATTATAACTAGTTGTAATTATTAAATAAAAATATATTTAATTTATAAATATTTGATATTTTTTAATTAGATGAGTAATTATTTATTATGATAAAATAATTTTAAGTTAATTATTTATGTCATCATACATAGAATTATTTGTTGTCATCATAATTTTAAATAATTAGTTAATATTTTTTAATTTTAATATTATTTTAACATAGTTTTATGAAATATTAATATAATAGTTTAAATAAGAGAATAAATAGGAAAGAAAATAGAAAGTAAAATAGAGAAAAAAAGGAAAAAAATTTATGAAAAGAGAAAAAATTATGTATGATTAATAAATAAATATATTTGAATAAATAAAATTTATTTGAGTAATTTTTTTAAAATATATTGTTGTTAGATTCATTCGGCTTATTCTACTTTTATAATTATTATAAAAAATATAATATTGTTTTAAAGGGAGGTGGCCCGTATATGTAGGGTTCAATTTCGTTCATAGCTTTAATTCAATTGAAAAATAAACAAGTTAGTGAACCCAAAGTGTTCAAATATATGATACCTTTCTTTTTTTGGCAAAGTATACATGAAACTAAAGAAGTTCAAACATGGTTTATCTATGAAAAAAGGTTAATAGTTGAAACTATTATGAACTCAAGTAGAAGAGTGAGGCTGTGATTTCGAGCCTGACCCAATAGTGTCTGTATGGACGGTCAGAAATCATTCTTTGAAACAATGGACAAATCAGAACCACCAAACGCGAGAAGCCCAAGAACTGAACTACTACAGAACTCTACCTCTTCTCTTTTGACATAGGTGTCAAGTAGGAAGAGAATTAAATTCGTATTTATGCTATTCATCCATCCTGTCTCGCTGACAAAATTTGAGTTCCCTAAACATGTGGTTGGATTTTTTCCGTTTTAAAATGGTTAGGAATGTTAATAGAAAAGGAAAAATAGAAAAGTAGATGATATAAAATTTCTTTATCTTTTGTGTATTTTTATATCAGAGTAAATTTTTTTTATAGAGTCTATTTACAATAGACTTATTTACAAACAGTTAACAAACATAACTACTTAAATTAGTTACAACACTCTCCTCTAATTTAAGTATATGAATCAATCACACACAATTCAATTTTCAATCTTCTAAATCTATATCTTTTCAACAGGCTTGGTAAGTATATCTGCCACTTGAATTTCAGTAGAACAATGAAGTAGATATAACCTTCCATTATTCACCTGTTCACATAAAAAATGAAATATAGTTTCAATGTGTTTACTCCTACCATGAGATATAGGATTTTTAGTTAGATTAATGGCTGATTTATTGTCCACGAACAACTTAATTGGTCTTTTTATTTCCACTGTCAATTCTATGAGAATTGAGTCCAACCAGCCATGCAGCTTGGCATGCTCTGCATATGCACTAGTAATATATTCAGCCTCACAACTAGATAATGCTACAACTGATTGCTTCTTTGAGCACCAAGAGAATGGTGCTCCCAAAAACATGAAAATGTATCCGCTGGTGCTCCTTCTATTTAGGCTATCTCCACACCAATCAGAATTCGAATAGTCAAACAATTCACCTTGCAACTGAACCTCTTTTGGAAATAAAAATCCATGACTCACTATGCAACTGATGTACCTCAACACCCTTTTTACAGCAAGAAAGTGTGCCTTCCTTGGATTATTCATGTATCTTCTAATCAATCCAACGACAAATGAGATATCAGACCTGCTATTGCAAAGATATCTCAGTGAGCCCATCATTTGTTTGTACAAGTTGTTGTCCACTTCCTCCTTTTCATCATTACATTCATCAAACTTCAAACTTATCTCTGCTGGAGTAGTTACAGAGTTACTTTCCTCCATTTTGAATTTTTTTCAAAATCTCAGTAGCATATTTGTGTTGATGCAATATCATTCCTCTGTTGTTTTCAACAAATTCCATTCCCAAAAAATATCTTAATCTTCCAAGGTCTGTCATTTTAAATTCAGTCATCAAGGTTTTCTTAAAAACTTCTATCTCTGTAATACTGCTCCCTGTGATCAATAGATCATCCACATATATGCACATTATCAATAAATCAACTCCATTATGATGCTTTACATACACACCATGTTCAACCAAGCATTTTTGTAAGTGATGTTTCTGCATAAACAAATCAATCACTCTGTTTCAGGCTCTAGGGGCCTGCTTCAAACCATATAAGGCTTTTCTCAGTTTGTAAACCTTGCCTGGACTGTCTTGAACCTCAAATCCTAGTGGTTGTGTAACATACACATCTTCTTCTAGTGGTCCATTTAAAAATGCATACTTCACATCTAGTTGAAACAAGGGCCACCCTCTTCCATTTGCCAAAGCCATAACCAATCTTATGATTTCAATCCTAGCAACTGGAGCAAACACCTCTAAGTAATCCAATCCTTGTCTCTGTAAGAAACCCCTTGCAACCAATCTGGCCTTTCGTTTAGAAATAGATCCATCAGGATTTTGCTTAATCTTGAAAACCCATTTGACATCAATTGATCTTTTGTCATAGGGTAATTCAGTTAAAAACTAGGTTTCATTCTCCTCAATTGCTTCTAACTCTTCTATCATGGCAACTCTCCATAATTCTTGATTCAATGCTTCTGCATAATCAATGGGCTCAACTTCTGCTAATAACGCAAAATACACAAGATCCCCCTCATCTGTTACGACACTATCTGGAAATAGTTCAAAATCAAGCAAAGATCGTAGTATATTTCTTTGTCTGGGTTACCTCTGCAACTATTGTATATTAACATGTTGCTGGACAGGTGCCTCCTGAACCTGTTGGATAGGTGCCTCTTCACTGCTTTGTTTATCACTATGTTCATCTTCAAGCATTATCTGAATATTTCGATCTTTTATATTGCTACAATTTGATGTCCAGTCCCATGTTTCAACTTCATTCACTACCACATCCCTGTTGATACATATTTCTACTGTAATAGGATTATATAACCTATATGCCCTGTAGAGTGATAACCAACAAGAATCATACACTCACTTTTGTCTTGTAACTTTCTTCTTTTTGCATCTGGCACATGTTTGAAACATAGTGAGCCAAATATCCTGAGATGATTCACAACCGGTTTTCTTCCATACCAGACTTCCTCTAGCACTTTCTCCTTCAACTTCTTTGTAGGACACTTGTTTAACACATAAACAGCAGTGGAAACTGCTTCTCCCCAAAATGAATGTGGCAATTTCTTCTGTTTCAGCATGCTTCGAACCATATTAAGCACAATTCTGTTCCTCCTTTCTGCCAAACCATTATGTTGTGGAGTATATAGAGCTGTGACTTCATGTGCTATGCCATTCTCTGCACAAAAATCCTGAAAAACTTGAGAAGTATATTCTCCTCCTCCATCAGTCCTAAGAATCTTGATGGCCTTCTCACTATATTTTTCAACAGCAGCCTTGAATCTTTTAAAAATTACAAAAACATCAGATTTGGCTTTAATCAAATACACCCACATCATCCTGTTGTACTCATCTACAAAATACTTGTTTTGTCCTAAAGAGGAGACTTCAAAAGGTCCACACACATTAGAATACATTACATGCAACAATTCAGTAGCCCTCATATGCATGTGAGACTGGAAAACATTTCTTGGTTGTTTTCCAAACAAGCATTCTTCACACATTTTATCCGACAAAGATATATTAGGTAATCCAATCACCATTTTCTTGTCAGCTAGTTGTTTTAAACTTTGAAAATTTAAATGACCAAACCTCATATGCCAAATCCAATCTGATTTGTTTGAGATAGTGGCTGTAAAACACTGTTTTTCCATTTATTGCAGTCTTGTTTGGAATATTCTATTCTTTGACAAAGGAGACTTTAACAACAATCTTTGTCTTGAGTCATAAACTTTCAGCAAGTCATCCTTCATTGTAACTGAGAAGCCTTTCTCAACCAATTGCCCTACACTCAACAAATTACACTTCATGCCAGGAACATATAACACATTTTCAATGATTGTTACCTTGTCTCCATCTCTTTTAATGACAATGTCACCTACACCTGCTGTTTTTATGGAACTATTATCAGTCAGTTTCACTTTGCTTTGTTTACTGGTATCAAGGTTGGTAAGTCAGTCCTTGTGCCCAGTCATGTGATTGGAGCAACCAGTGTCTAAGAACCAATTTTCTGACAAAATATTATCCTGTGTTGGGACCATGAGCACCACTGGTTCATCATCGGTCTCATCTTAAGCCACATAAGCATCATTTTCTGAATTTTTCTTCTTCTTTCCTTTTCCATACCAATAATCTGCTGCATAATGCTCCCATTTCTCACAATTATAACATTGATTTTTCTTCCTATCTTGATTCCACTTCCCACTTCTACCTCTTCTGTTATTCCTACCAGAGAATTCTGGTTTATCATCATGTTTGGATTGTTCTTGATTAAAAGAACTCCTTTCTTTGTCAAATCTACTACTTTGCTTTTCTTTCTTCCATCTTCCACGTGATGAACTAACTTTCTTAGAGACTTCCGCTTTTAAGGCTTGCTCTTCGCCAGTTTTGTCAGCATTCTTTGACAACAACTTTAATTCATGGGCCTCTAATGATCCTTGAAGCTCATTTTATCTTCAACTTGCCAATATCTTTTGACTCCTCTATTGCTACTACAATATAGTCAAATTTTGAGGATAATGTCTGCAAAATCTTCTCCACCATATTTTATTCTATCACCACCTCTCCACAGGCTCTCATGGAATTTACCAACAAATGAAGCCTGTTGAAATAATCTGCCACAGATTCTTGATCAAGCATGGATAACAGCTCGTACTGTCTTCTGAGAGATTGCAACTTTACTTTCTTGATCTTGTCATCACCTCCATATGCCCTTTGCAGAATATTCCAAGTCTCCTTTGTTGTCTGGGCTTTGGAAATCTTTTCAAAGTTGACAAGATCCACACACTAATGTAAAAGACAGCGTGCCTTGAAGTCCTTTTTCTTTGCTGTTGCATCTGCCTTTTCTCCAGTGCCTTCTTTCACCGTATTAAGAATTTCTTGATAACCCAGAATGACTTCCATTCTTATCACCCAATGATCATAATTTTTTCCATCCAGAATTGGCAGATTAGATATGAAATTTCCCCCTCCATTGAAAGTCATCTTGTCCCAAATCTTACTGCTCTAGATACCACTTGTTAGCAGAGAAGGAAAAATAGAAAAAGTAGATGATATAAAACTTCTATGTCTCTTGTGTATTTTATATCAGAGTAAATTTTTTTTATAGAGTTTATTTACAACAGACTTATTTACAAACAGCTAACAAACATAACTACTTGAATTAGTTACAACAAGGAGCAGAGGTCAAAATGTATAATGCAATCCCTAGTTTGACTTCATCTCCGTTCTGATTTTATATTTAAATTTAAATTTTAAAATATTAATATTTCAAAAGTATTTCATTTTCTTTTTTTATTACATACAAGGTCTTTTTTATGTTTCACCAATTTTATTTTTCTTCTACCCACTTTTTAATTTTTTTTGTTTTTTTTTAATCTTTTATATCAATTAATTTATTACATTATTCTCTCTCTTATCTTCAAGTTTTTCACATTTCCTTAATCTCTTCTATCAATTTATTTATTTATTTTAATTTTTTTAACTAATTTTATGAAGCCAAAGTTAATTTTTCTTGTTCCTTATCTTTTTCTAAATATTTTACATAAATATTAATAATAACTAATATTATTTTATTTATAATTTATATTTATTATGTTTTATTATGTCATATTTTTATCTTATTATTCTTATTTATCATATATCAAATTTTATCTTAATAAAATAATTGTATTTTAAAAAAATTTAAAAAATTAATAATTTAAATTTTTATTACTTCGAACTAATTAAATAAAAATTAATTTATTAAATTTTTTTATAAAATATATATTGTATATTTTTAAATAAAAATTTAAAAATGAATTAATTTATATAAATAATTAAATATTTAAATATAATATTATAATAATAATAACAATGGTATAAATATTCAAATTTAAATAGTGTGATAATAATAATAATAATATAAATATTTTATATATATATTTAAATCAAAATAATTAAATATTTATATATATATATATATATTTTTTTTTAATATAAATATAATAAATTAAAATATATATTTAATTAATAATAAATATAAATTATAAAATTATAAATATTTATTTATATATAAAAATAGATAATAAAATTAATTTATTATAAGTATAATTATTTTTTTAAAATAATATAAATAGATTATGATTAAAAAATTGGAGCGTGGACCGCGTGTCCCGTTGCCATGCCTAGTGTTAAGTCCCGGAGAAAACCTTAATTGGTGGCCAAATAGGTGTCTCTTGTTGTTCTTTCCATTTCCTTATGCGTGGTGTTGCTTTTTAGATATAATAACATTGCAAATTTTAGTCTCATTGGTTTGATTTCATTGTGCAAATGGCAAAGATGGGTGAAGAAGTGAAGGCCATTGTTCCAGAGTCCGTTCTAAAGAAGCGAAAGAGGGAAGAGGAATGGGCTTTGGCGAAGAAGCAAGAGCTCGAAGCTGCGAAGAAGAAGAGAGTTGAGAGCCGCAAACTCATCTACAGCAGAGCCAAGCAGTACGCAGAGGAGTACGATCAGCAGGTAATCTCCTGTCAACTTTGTTACCCTAATTTCGTTGTAATAATTTCTTGTTTTATTTTGACTCAGTTTTGAACTTGCCTTTTTGTTTTCTTTACAGGAGAAGGAATTGATTCGGTCAAAACGTGAGGCTAAACTAAAAGGTGGATTCTATGTGGATCCAGAGGCTAAGCTCTTGTTTATTATTCGCATTCGTGGGTTTGTATTTGTGTTTTTATTTGTATATACTACATCTGACATTTTAGAATGTTTAGGTTGGCATAACGTATGTAATTGTATTTTCTCAGTATCAATGCCATGGACCCCAAATCAAGGAAGATCCTGCAGCTGTTGCGATTGAGACAGGTATAATTTTGATTTGGGTGGTTGTGGTTACATAATGCATCAACATTGTATTCTTGGAGGAAAAGAAGAGGAAATAAAGTGAACAAGGGCAATTGAAATTAGTCGTAGTTATTGTAATCCAGTCATTTCGCTGCTTTCATTATGTCCCCAAACAATGATTTTATGGTTTGTCATTCGACTTTGGTTGTATGAGATTTTGCTTACAAGTTAATATTGGAATATGCTTAATTAGTACCTGTCTTTTGAAGGCCAGAAAACTCATCATATAAATTGCTATGAATTATTGGATGCTTGAGTGTTTTTGCTATGCTTGGTTCTGTGTTTGGTAATGCGAACATGTATGATACGATCCATATTAGAGCATTATCAAATCATAATACGTAAAATTTTCGTTACTATAAAAACAAATTGGTGATAATGATACTCATCTTATTGTGAAACAGATCTTCAATGGTGTGTTTCTCAAGGTTAACAAAGCCACCGTGAACATGTTGCACAGAGTTGAACCATATGTCACTTATGGGTACGCCAATTACCTATTTGAATATTAAGATTACTCATGTACCAACTAAAGAGACTTGGGCCCTTGTTTTAGATACCCAAATCTGAAGAGTGTGAAATAACTTATTTATAAGAGAGGGTATGGAAAGCTCAACAAGCAGAGGACTGCTCTAACAGACAACTCTATCATTGAGCAGGTGTGTTAATTTACAATTTCTTTATTACAAATTTGAATTAATTCACTACATGCTCCTGACTTGCTTTGATGACAGGCTCTGGGAAAATATGGAATCATTTCAGCTGAAGATCTTATCCACGAGATCATCACTGTTGGACCTCACTTTAAGGAGGCTAACAACTTCCTTTGGCCATTTAAGCTCAAGGCTCCTTTGGGTGGCTTAAAGAAGAAGAGAAACCACTATGTTGAGGGAGGTGATACTGGAAACCGGGAGAATTACATCAATGAGCTAATCAGGAGAATGAATTGACAATTTTGATTAGTTGAATCAGAATTTTCTTGTTGGCTTTATATCATGATCAAACAATTTTGTTATCTGAAATGAAATTTTGAGAATATAAATGTATGATTGATATTTTTTACCTTAAAGTATTGTTATTTATATAAAGTGCTCAGATTTCTGTTTTGCAATTTTTAATATGAAAGATGAGTTATCAATTCTGATTTTTTTTTTTCTTTTCCAAGTCCATATGCGTATGTCTAGGGATGGCAACGGGGCAGGCGGGCAAGGACAGCGATATCCACCGTATCATTTGAAATATATTATATGGCCTTGTGTTGAAAGCCATGTCTAAATACTTTAGATTAATTCACTCTTAATATTAGTTTTGTGAAACTATTTTATAATTTTTTTATCATGGAATTAAACATATATTAAGAATTTATGATCATTTACACCCTCATAGCTCTAACCATTTACACACTCAGCTAATCCAACTATTACATTCCTTTGATTACTATTAGTCTAGTTTAAGTTTTTTTTCAAACCAAATAATGAAGGACAATTGTTCATTGACTAATGAATAATATTAGTTAATCATATTTAGCTTAATGTAATTATTGAAGACTAAAATAATTTTTTTATAAAAGAATAAAATGATTATTGAAGATTAAAAATAATACTTTTAAATTTATTAACGAAAAAAAAGATGGGGTTTTTTATTATTTATCTTATCAATAAAGATAGATATTATTTTTTATCAAAAATATAAATGAGATGAAACTTATTAAAACCTAAAGAATCATACAATTATTTAAGCTTAGATCTATATATGGTTAGAATATGAAAAGTTTGCTTTTAAAAAAAAGTGTGATTAGTTTGACTTTATTATCCTAAAAATATTTTAGTTATTTTAAGATATAGATGCAAATTATTTCTTATGAGAAATTATGTTTAATTAGGTGAATCTTTAAAACCATGTGTGATACATTATTTGAGAATGTAAATAAAATTGAAAAAAATTAGTATTATTTAAAGTTGAAAAAACTATTCAATTATTATTTCATGATCATGTGATACATATATGAAATTAAAAGTTAATAAAGAGGTGGAAAATGTGTTTTGAAGTTATTAGATAAATATAAAGTTATTATTATTATTATGACATGTATAACTTAAAAAAAAATAACTAAGAACTATTTTTCATGGTTTACACTTCAAAAATAACGTTTAATATAGTGTAAATGCGATTCCAACAACGGTGAGAATAAATGCACATTTTTTAAATAATACAGGTAGATAAGTGGTTTTATTAATATATATATATATATACTTTTAAAATACATAAAAATACAATTTTTTATTATATTTTATCATTGTTTATTTTCATAGAATTTTACTTAAAACAATGAAAATATTATATATAATTGTAATTTAACTATATTTTGCAGAAACAATAGGAAAAAAATTTAATAATTAATGTACTTATATAGTATAATTTATTCCATCTCTACTAAAAAATATTCAAATTCCAGTTAAAATTAAAAATTCTCTTAATAATAATATTTTAAAATAAATATAATTTGTATATATTTTACCGAAATTGGAAAAAATATACATATTATTTATATACATATATACTATGATAAATATACATATATTTTAATATTCAATTTTAATTATTTTAAATATATAATATTTAATTTAATGATTAGATGATTTCTTTTAACAAAATTGTACATAAATTTTTGATGTGCCCTGCATCATTGTAATATTTATATAAATAAACTAACATTATCTTAAATGATATTAACTGTTATATTTATAAATAACAATGTTTATTAAACATGTAATTATAAATGATTTAAAAAAATTGATTACTAAAAATATAAAATCGATATATTCTAAAATTTTATAATGATTTTAAAATAAATGAAATATATTTTGCTTACGCTAAATAGGATATACATTTAAATATAAGAAGAGAGGAGATGAGAAAATACATAAAGGGATTCTAAGAAGAAAAAATTAAATTAATTTACTTTAACACATTGCATGAACTCGTATACTCTCAAAAAATTTAATGGTGTTACTGTGCATTTTAACTGTTAATAATGTAGAAAGGGGAGCAGAAGCGTTTTAACCTTGTCTTCTCCAATCTCCATTGTTAGGGTTTGCAGAATTGTCAATTCCTGTGTTTGCTCGCACTCACCAACTATCGGGGACAGAAGCACCTCTAGTTCAAGTCTTTCTGCAGTTATATGTATTGGAATGCATCCAAAGATTCATTATGGTGCAGTCCTTCTAAATTTTCGATTCGATTTTATCCCAAAGATTATGGACAGTGTCGTGCGTCCACTGCATGATATCTTGTTCCTTCCCGTCGATCATGTGCTCTGTCTCTGACCTCGAACCCTAATTTTATTTTTCAAAGTTTTTGTTCCCTTGGCTACTTTGTTTCTCTCTATAACTACGGGTAAGGTAGTTTGCGCTGGAATAACCATAACTGCATAATTTCTTTATGAGCATGATCAATGATGAATAGTTATAGTGTCCCTCCTCATTCAATCTTGATGCATGTTAAAGCTCTATTGGATTGAAACTCTCATAGTGAAACTAGGTGGATTTTGAAATATTATTTGTTGGTTTAGCATTTAATACTCGTCAATGTTGGGTTTATTTGGTGATCCATAATTCTTTTAGTTAAGCAAGTTAAGAATAAATTATATATGTATTTTTTACACTATAACTATGGTAAGTAAGTTGACTTTTGTAAATACCATACCTAAAGTTGATTTCATGCATGTCTATCAAATTCTTAAATTAATTTGCTTGTTTCCCTCAATTTGGTAAAGGTTATCGATGGATGGGTATCGACATGGGTTGGGTATTGTGCATGAAGGGAGTGTTGATGTTGGACCTCAGATGGCAAATAACTTGGACTTAAATGTGGAGCAGAACTGTTGCAGTCCAAACATTGCTCATGCTAGTGACATTCGATCATTTCCTCCTTCAGAAAATGTACTAAGAGCCGAAGCTATCTTGAGAATTGGTACAGAATTTGAGTCCGATGATCACGCATACAGATTCTATAACAAGTATGCCAGATTGGTGGGTTTCAATGTTAGAAAAGATTGGATAAATAGGAGTAAGGTGCATGGTCAGGTGGTGTCTAGAAAGTTTACCTGCTCCAAAGAGGGATACCGCAGGAAAGACAAAAGGGATGTCAATGTGAAGAAACATCGGAGGGAAACGAGAACTGGCTGCTTGGCACATATGATCGTCACTCGGCAGCTAGATGGTAGATACCAGGTCACCCATTTTGAAGCACAACATAATCATGACTCTATAAACCCCAACAATGCTAACGTGTTAAACTTGCTCAATGAATTTAGTGTTGCTCAAGCTGTGGAGGCCGACTCAAACAATAGTTTAGGACCTAAATTAAAGTCAGCATTAGATATTTTGAATAAAAAAATAAGTGCTCGTGAATCTCTTGATCTACTTTCAACGAATTATGATAATTATCTTCATTCTGTGAGGGAAAGAGATATAAGGGAAGGAGAAGCAGGGCGTTTGCTTGGTTACTTCCAAAGGCAGCACTTCGAAAATCCAACCTTTTTTTATGCCATACAGCTTGATGTTGATGACAAGGTTAGCAATGTTTTTTGGGCTGACGATAATATGGTGGTGGATTATGACCACTTTGGTGATGTCATTTGTTTGGATACAATTTGCAGAACAAAGGAAGATCTTCGGCCATTTGTACAGTTTTTAGGTGTTAATCATCACAAACAAGTATTAATATTTGCTGCTGCTTTTCTGTATGATGATTCCATTGAATCATTTAACTGGCTATTTCGAACTTTCTTTAATGCAATGTCTGGGAAAAAGCCGAAAGCCATTCTCACTGAACAAGAAGCTGTAATAATTGAAGCAGTTAATACAGTTTTACCTGACACAAACCATAGTACGTGTGTTTGGCAGTTGTATCAGAACACTTTGAAACACCTCAGCCATGTTGTCAAGGATGCTGAATCCTTTTCAAATGATCTACGGAGCAGTATTTATGACCCCAAGGATGAGGAAGAATTTACTCATTCTTGGGAGGCTATGCTGGAGAAGTATAATCTGCAGCAAAATGAATGGCTGAGATGGATGTATAGAGAAAGAGAGAAATGGGCTGTTGTCTTCGGTCAGAATACATTTTTTGTAGACATCAAAGGCTTTCATTTAGCTGAGATTTTGTCTCATAAGTTTAGAAGTTATCTAAATCCTGACCTTGATGTAGTTCAATTTTTTAAGCATTTTGAAAGGGTAGTAGAAGAACAGCGTTATAAAGAAATAGAAGCTAGTGATGAGATGAGCAGGTGTTTGCCAAGGCTAATGGGTAATGTGATTTTGTTGAAGCATGCAAGTAATATTTATACTCCAAGAGCATTTGAAGTATTTCAGCGAGCATACGAGAAGTCTTTAAATGTTCTTGTTAATCAGCACAGTAGAAATGGATCATTGTTTGAGTACAAAGCAAATACATTTGGGCATACTAGGCAATACAATGTCACCTTTAATTCTTCTGATGACACTGTTGTCTGCAGTTGTATGAAGTTTGACCGTGTTGGATTTCTGTGTAGTCATGCACTTAAAGTTCTTGATCAAAGGAACATAAAAGTAGTTCCATCTCGGTACATATTGGAGAGATGGACTGGAGATGCAAGGTTGGGAAATCTTAGGGAGATTAGACAATGTAATATGCAAGATAATCCTAAAAAGCTCGTTGCGAGCTGTTACAAAGATTTGTGCCGTAGACTGCTCAAGTTGTCAACTAGAGCCTCTGAATCCGTGGAGGCTTATCAATTTGCCATGAGACAACTTGATGAAGTGATGGTAGGAGTGGAGAAAATCTTGACACTGAAAGTTGAGGAAGGTCAAGTTGTTACCTCACATGATATTGATGCAGATGCTTCAGGAAGTGAGCCTGCAGAGATCTTTCTAAAGGAGCATGCAATTGAGGATCAGGATGAAAGTAACAGTGCAAATGGTGGAAAAGACAGGAGAGCCATGTCAGACAGGGGGGACTTAACAACCATTACTTGTAATGGAGCTGATTCTTATAGGATTTTGAATGTAGAAGTATCTCCACAAAATACCGATATCTGCATTTCGAGACCCCCCACTACATATGTTTCATCTCAGCCTGCAGCACCAAATCCCATTCTGCAGGTCATCCTTTGTCATCTATCAGATATGATAGTTTATACTGTGATCATATTATTTGTTTACAGTTATCAACAAACTCAATGCTCATAACTTTTTAAGAGAATATGTTCTCTCTTTATATATATATATATATATATATATATATATACACACACACACACACACACACAAAAGAGAATACAACATTTGTTGATTCTCTTATTTGTGATACAGGGTTTGTACGGTTTTGAAGCCAATCAAGGGGTTCACTGCATGTATGACCAGACTAATCTTGTGCTGGACCATCAATCTAATTCTAACATGTTACAACCGCCAAACGTCTTTTATAACCCACAAGATTCTCCTGGTCAATCTCAGCTATTGCAGGTGTTTGTTTTTCCAGTCATCGAGTGTTTTTTATTTTTTTGTATGTGGAATATGCATGTATATAACTTGTTAAGAAATTTTAACCCAGGAGCCTTTAATCCAGAGCACATACCTTGAGTCCATGCCAAGCAATAATCAGATGCGGCAGGTAAACACTTCTTGGTCATAAACTCTCACCACCACCACCCTGAAAATATAAAAAGATTTTTGGTAGGTAGATTCATGTTGTTTAACTAACTGAATCTGCTCTGGGTATATTGGTTGCAGGGGATGGATCGTGACATCCAAAATCCACATTCGTCTTCGTTCTTGCTGTATGACCATAGATACAGAAGTTCCGAGTCTGCATGAAGTACAATAGAATGAAATGGTTGAATCATTTTCTTCTAAGACTCTTCTGGTAGTGCCAATATTTTGCTATACAGTGGGGATTGAACCAGTCATTAGCATCGAAAACAGAATCATCCTTCTCTCTTTGTAAATAACCAAACATTCATTATACAATATTGTGTAGCTCATATGAACATTACATAATTGAATGTGATGGCTACACAACTTTTTTGGAATGAAAGTTAACATAAATCTACAAATACATCCATATTTTTTGGTAGATAATACATTACTCTTTATGTCTTATTACTTGACATGATTTACTTTTATTCACTTTTGTTCTGCACTTTTTTTTACAAGGAATTCAATTGAAAGATATTTCCTTGCCAAGTTGCCAATCTGAACAAGAAGAACTTTTGGAAACCCTAAAGATGGTCTGCTTGATAAGTGGTGCTTGAGAAGATTCTGAAAAATTCTAGATACATTACTGCTTTAAGAAACCTCTGATACACTTTAAGTTGATATATAACGAGAATAGTTATTATTTTAATAATGTGAGAACCAAAAAATTAGACTATATAACTAATATACAAATGGAAAATATTAAAAGTTAACTGTGATCATATGATCATTTTAAAAAGTTTCATGCATTTATATTTGTTCATCTTATTTACCTTGGTAATCCAGTGTTCTTAGTTGGTTAACACTACTTGGAAATTTCAGTTGCACGATAAGTTATATTATTTGTGGATCTGGATCCTCTCGCTCTCGCTTGTAGCATGAGCACATGACTTTGTTATTTTAAGCGATACAAGTTCAACGGTGGGACATTGTGCCGAAATTTGGGACCCTGTCCAAATATAGTCATTTAGAGCATGAACTTGTGTCTGTAGTCTATTTTATATCTCTCCTAAATTGGTAAGGAGATATTTGGTTTTCTTGGAATTCACGAGCTTTCAAATTATTTGCCCCCTCCCCGCCTCATCTTTTAGAAATTTGATGTTTGAGCAATGGGTTTCTGCCATCTCCATGTCTCTGTTTCACCCATTGTATTTTTACCGTAATACTTTTAGAGAAATTTGTCTAATAGTATAAAGAATTTATACCAATATTTAATTATAAATTGTCATGTGAAAAGTGTATTAATTTTTATAATAATTATTTTAAAATTCATAATTATTATGAATTTTAATTAGTTAATATTATAATTTTTTTTATATTGATATTGTATAAAAATGTCATTTTTTACAGTGGTGTCCGAATTCTGATGTCATTTTAATGGATCAATTCATGACCGTTCAGGTGGTGTGTTTTTCAGCTTCTACACAACATGTGTTAAGATAATTTGACTACTTTGTTGTTCTATTGTACATTATAATTTTATTGGCTTCCAGACATTGAATTTTCGTATCGTCAAGCCACATTCATTGACTTGGCCGGTTATTGTGTCTTTTATAGCGTTCCCATTTGCTGACTTTTCATTAATGTTCTTAACCAATGTCAGAACTAAACGGTTAACTGGGATTTGCAAAATTCAACCTCCACAGTTACTGGAGCATCGACCATAATAACCAAAATGTCTTGTTATTTTTTGTATAAAGTGATCACAACTTACATGCTCACATGATCGCCTGAATTTGCGTTGCACAGAATGTTTTTTCTTCCATAAAGAACAGAAAAGATAAACCCAGATAAGGTAGCAGTAAGTTGCATGATGGCTTCCCATGTAGTTGAGAGGTTGGTTATTTTTAGAGAAGCAAGATGGTATTATGCTTGTCTCCTGCTTCCTTGAACTGATACCATAATTATTGGCCAAAACATGTATTTGGGAAGTAGAGAATAAAATGCAGATGTATCTTTATATTTATTATTTTGGTAGAACGTAATCCATGCATCTTTCCTATTATGGTCATATTAATTATTTTAAAGATTTTTTTTGCAATCGATAAAGTGTTGTATACATAAATTTAGGCCATAATTATTCAGAATAAGCAGAGACAATGATAGTTCTTATGCAAGTATCGTGTTTGAAACTTGCAAGACATAAGAAAATATAAAATAATATAAATCAGTTCTTATTTGAATATATTAAAAAAATGTTATGAATAGGGTGCACACGCGGATTACTCGAGGATAACACGCACGGCCATGTTTATGCATTAATGCATGAAGGTCTTTTTGAAAACCGGCCCAGCAGTTTTACTCAAACCACTGCCAGGGTTTTATTTTTTCTGCGGAATTCTAAACCATATAGCAATCTTTTTATCTCCATTTGTTGTCAAAAGAAAACATTCTAGATACCTAAAGTAAGAAAAAATATGATCTTTTTTATTAAAAAAATAGTATTATCTTATTTGCATAATAAACAGTTTTTATTATTTTATTTTTTAAAAATTAAAATATAATAAATAATTAATATATTTTCGGATCTCTTTAAAGATAGTTCAATATCTATCTGCAATTATATTACATATTGTTCACATCATAAAATTGTCGAAATAATTATTTTATTAATCCTTTTGTGATTATTTATTATCATCCATATTTTTTTAACTTAAAATTATTAAATACTTTTTTTATTTATAAAGATAATCAATTATTAAATCTTTTTTACACTTTATTATAAACTTTTGAGAACAAAATTAAACCAAATAATTCTTTTGCTATTAGATACAAAATATTATACATTTTCCGTGTTTTTAATCAAGAATAAAATATTATATTGAAAAACATTTATATTTTATAATGCTAAAAATAGTTTAGGCTCAACGTTTGGAATCTTTCATCTTCTTTCTACACAAAAAGTTAGCTCGCCAGATTATCCAGATATTAAATACCACACGTCTACTATGGATGCAGGAATGAATACATATACATAAATGTCTGTCACTTTTATACACGATACCATTCTATAAATACTTCTTTTAGGAATGAAAACCTTAATATTAGATGGCTTGATATTTTTCACCAAAGTAATGAATTAAAACCTTAATATTATACATGATATTACATCTTCTTCTTTTTTTATCTCTCTCAGATTCTCCCTCTTGTAGAAATACAGAATCATCCAATGGTATATGGTTTATTGCTATAAGTTGAATTTAAAAGGATGCCTATGTTCCACTATTTTAATATCAGAAATGAAAATTGAAGCAATATGTTTGTAAGACAGAAATTAAATTCTTACCAACTCAACTAACTACCATATAAAATGCAGTAAGGTTTCACCAAGCAAATTAACAAATTTGTAAGACAAGATTATTTACAGAGGGTGGGTGAAAAAAACAAAAATGGGAATTGCGAGTGAAGAAGTAGGCGTTGCAAAAGCGCGTGAAGTTGAACGGGGGAACAAAATGAGACGTCCAAATCTCCGACACTCAAAACTACAAAATCCAAGCATTCCACAGTTCTTCAGCTACTTCCATTATCATTCCCTCTCTTTCTCTAACTAAACTCACTTCATTTCTCTCTCCTCCAATGACTTGACTTCAACCATGGGCTTTCTCCGGCGAATTTTCGGCGCCAAAAAGCCCTCAGACCCCAAATCCACCAAGAAAAGATGGGCCTTCCTCAAGCCCACCGCCCGGAACAAGTCTCTCCCGCCGCCACCGCCACCCTCCACCTTCAACACACACTTTGATCCTTCCACTCCCTTGGGCGCCAACAAGCATGCCATCGCCGTCGCCGCTGCCACCGCCGCCGTCGCAGAGGCCGCTCTGGCTGCCGCACACGCTGCCGCCGAGGTCGTCAGACTCACAAGCGGCGCCTCCGCCGCCGCCACAAGTACCAGCACCAGACCCGCCGCGTCGGTCGCGCGTGTTAGCCAGCTGCGGTTGACGGAACAAACCGCCGCCGTTAAGATACAATCGGCATTCCGTGGTTACTTGGTAAGTAAAAAAAATATACTGAAAACTAGAAAACTGTTTTCTTTTCACGTTTTACGATGATTTTTTATTTTCTTGGATTCGTGGTTATTCTTTTCTCCGAAGTTTTTCTAATTCAGTTTATATTTTTTAGTGAAAAATATTCTTCCATGGTCATAGTGTGTCTATTTGACTCCATTTTTTTCTTAATGAAGTGGAATTTTTTCTACGGATTTTCCCGGGAACAAACGGTGGTCAAATATTGTTTATTTTTCAATAATGAGAATATAATTTTATTTTATTTTTAATTTTCGGTCTGAAAGCAACCTGTTCCGTGGACATAGGCATTGGTCCCCTTCCACCACCACACCACACCACACCACACCTTTACTTCCTTCCAAAATCCATATGAATTCATTGTTAAATAATTAATTAACGACTTTTTCTTTATTTTATTATAGTAAGATTCTGGAAAGTATTTGTTCTCTCTGTCCTCTCAGAGTTGGATACTGCTGCTGAGTGCTGACAATTTGCCATATGTCATCATATTCATATTGGAGATTCCTTTTATTTTTCTATTCTAAGCTTTTCGATACACAGGTTATGTTTGACTAATTATAATTTATATATACTTGTATTTTCACAAGGAAGTTCATTTTTATTTTTTTTTTCCTTATCTCGTGGCATGGCATGGCATAATCTTTTCTTTTAAACTATAAAAATTACTATGAGGATCGTCATCCTATTCGTTTTTAGAATTATTATAACATCTTCTTATCACGTGCTACTGTGCAACATCTTATTCAATTTATTGCTTTGAGTCATATCTTCCATGTGTGTTTGGGTGCCTCATTCTGCCTTATCTCATAAACTTTGGCTCTACATTTCAAGACTGTAAAATTCCCAGCAGGTTGAAGATATTTTTTCCAAATATATTAATTTGATTGACAAAAACGAACGACGAGTTGCATAAAACTAATTAAATAATAAGTAGGAACATAGGAAGGGAAATAGAGATTCCCAAGTACCCTACTCGTTTGAGATGTTTGTTAGGGTAAAGATTTAGAAGTGGGTACTAGCAACGTTCAAGTTTTATTTTTTATTTTTTTGAAGAAAAAGTTCCCCTTTTTGGAATTTGAGTGTGTGAGAATGGAAGGAGTTTGTGGGGATTGAAAAGAGAAAAATGGGACGTGTGTGAATAGCATGAGAGGCCCACATAGTTGGTGAATGGCGAGTTATGATAGTTACCTTTGCAGGAGGCAAAGTAGAATGACCCCCTGCGCAAAAAACATCAAAGGATAGTGGCCCTGTGCCAGCCCATCTTCAACCACATCTAAGGTCATGACCCTAACTACTCATTGGTGGGGGTTGCTATTACTCAATGTATTCTAATAGGAGAGAAAAGCAAGCTGGTAACCACTAATTTTGTTTTTGCCTTTCTATGAGGAGGGGAGTATTTGTGTTCATGTCATTTTCTTGCCAAATCAGATGAACAAAACACCATTCCTTTTTCAGAGAAAAAGGGGGTTTTCACCTTACTTTAAGATAACACAGTCTAGCTTTAATGAGAGAGAAGTCACTCTAGTTAAGGTCACCGACCGACCATAATACATTCTTTTGTTTAAAATGGTTAGAGAGAGAGGAATGAGTTTACAATATTCATTTTAAGTAAGGAACTGTTACTTAACTCTTTCACCTTTTTGCCTTTTCTGCCTGCCTATGCAAACCAAACCAAAGGGGAAATGTAGCACAGGAAGCTTCAAGGAATAAAGAGTAATGACATTAATTAATACAGCAAATTATCACAATAATTTCTACAGGAGGATAGCTTTCACTCAAACGAATATTCAAAAAATAAAAAATGATCTACCAAAATAAAAACAGGCCTCAATTCAACAGTGAATTTTGTTGAAAAAGAAAAGAACATGGTAAGAGGATTTTTTTCTTTTTCTTTATAGTGTGTTCATTACGTGTTTAATAGTCCACCAAATATTTGATGTAAGATACCCTTGCTTAGAAGGTCCTAACTTAAACACGTGGCAAACATGTTTGTTCTTGGCATTGGGTCTTCTCCTTCATTGATTTTTAGTTGTTCGTGAAGATATGGATTGGGTGAATGTGGTTGTTATGGGCAGTTTGTATAACAATATGATGGGAAATATTTGTGAAAAAAATGTTTTGTTTTGTTTATTTCTTTTTATAAAATTGGAAGGCAAGGAGAGCCTTGAGAGCACTGAAGGCATTGGTGAAGTTGCAAGCATTGGTTAGGGGCCACATTGTGAGAAAGCAAAGTGCTGATATGCTGAGGCGCATGCAAACATTGGTGCGACTTCAGGCCCAGGCACGTGCAAGCCGTGCGCACTTGTCACATAATACGCCTTCTTTCAAGTCTTCCCTTTCTCACTACCCTGTAAGCAAACACTTTCTCTTTTTTCCTCTCACAACTGTCTTCATTCTTCTTTTGTATTCTCAGAGGCCAACTTTTTGGTTGAAGCACCATTTTGTTCAAACGCGTCACTTTTATAACCTAGCTTTACGAAATTAAGCCAATGTGCTTAGTATAGTATGCTGTTTTAGGTTAAAATGTGGATTATCTGTTTAAAGATTGGGTATTATTACTACTCAGCAAAGAATGACTCATTACTATTAACTTGTCTGAGTGATTATTTTTTTATGATCATTTAAACTTACCTGTAGGTCCCTGAAGAATACGAGCACCCACCTCGTGCCTTCAGTACAAAATTTGATGGATCTTCTATCCTTAAGGTACACCATTCTTCCACCATTTAAGCACGATTGATAAATAATATTGGCTTATTGTGAAAACATTTTCTTTTCTAAGGGCCCCCTATCTCGTTTTGATCTTTTTTCTTCTCATGAAAAGGGCTGCATCACTTCTTTTAATCTCTTCAATATTGTTCTTTCTCTTTCCTTCGCACTTTTTTCATCAACACACAAATGTATTTCTTCTTTTCTGTTGTTAGGTACAAACCTTGACCATGCTTCTTAGGATTGAAAAGAAATGTTAAATGAATTTAAAAAAAATCATACTAAATTATTATTAACGACTTATAAAAAGTTTGCTTTAAGCATAGATTCACGATGGACCGACCTAAAGAGCGCAAGGGTGTTTGAATCAGTTAGGTGTTGACATAACTTGAAGAAAAGTTGAGCTTGAATCATCGAACTCGTACAAAAAACGTTTTATATTCTGTTCATTTCTGGGCCTTGTGAATGGTGTTCCTCTCTTAATTCTACCTACTTCAATTGCATTTTCTTCTTTTTAAAACTTGCAGAGATGTAGTTCCAATGCCAATTTTAGGAACGTTGACTCAGAAGGAACCCGGTTTGATTCAAACTGGTTAAACCGTTGGATGGAATTAGATAACAAGTGCAGGCAAAGTGGAGATGCTTCATTGAAAACTGGACGCCCTGATGATGATAAAAGTGACAAGATTCTCGAAGTAGATACTTGGAGGCCACATTTCAAGTCTCACCACAGTAGCAACTCCTTTCAGACAGCACATTATTATATGAGTTCTGACTACAATAATGATAACTTTATGGCCCATGAGTCTCCATCAAAACGTTCAGCAAAGGCTCTAAACCAAAGTTTCTCATCAAGGGAGTTGTTGCAGCTAAACTCTTTGAAGTTTCACAAAGGGAAAGAAGAAGCCACTTCAAGAACTGCTGACAATAGTCCACAAGCATTTTCAACCAATTCTAGAAATGGAAGTGGTGCAAGGAGGGGTCCCTTTACACCTACCAGGAGTGAGTGCTCGTGGGGTTTCTTCAGTGGCTACTCGGGTCACCCCAATTACATGGCAAACACTGAATCTTTTCAAGCCAAGGTTAGATCTCAAAGTGCACCTAGACAAAGGCTGGAGTTTGACAGATACGGTTCCACTAGGAGGCCTGTTCATATGGTGGGACCTAATTCAGACCAGGATTCAGATTTAAGGAACAAAGTCTTACCTGCCTCTAACAGTGTCAACAGAATTGGGAGTAGCAATTTAAGGTGACATTGAGTGTGTTATAAGACAATCCCCACTTTTTTCCACAAAAAGGAGAAGAGACATATTTCCTCTTGTTTGAGTTTCTTGTGTGTGGCAGCAGTTGAGAATGTAATTATTTTTTACCTGTATTCATATAGTCCATACACCATTATTCTCATTGTCGACGTTTTCAGTGTGTGGATTTGTAAATCATGACTTGGTTTGACTGTTTGCTTAGTGGAGTGCATGTTTTGAATCATAACTTACATCGAATTAGCCCCTTCATGCCAATAATTTATGATGATGAATCCAAGCAATCATTTCTCGTTAGGGACAAATGCTTGGCAGTTGGCACATCATCATGTGTAGGACAAATACCTAAGTTTTTTCAAATAACACTTTTCATAAACTTAACATTTTGTTATTAATGTTACCATTTTCAGATAAATGCACTAATTTTTTTATTACAGACCTTCTAATTGTCTGTTTTAAAGTTGAGTGCAGTTAATTTTGACATAGTAATAGGTTTTAAACCTTTAAATAAACTGTAGTTAATCGTAATAATGTATATTCAAATTAATTTTAATCATGATCTTTTTGTTGAATGCCATGCACAGTGAAGGAGATGAGGAGATATAAGATTTGATCATCTTGGAGATGAAGGAAGAGATAGGTGATAAAAAAACTAACATATTAATAAATAATATTTGTGGAAAAAACAATTGGTGGGAGGAAATGATTTTATTGAAATAACAGGAAAGCACTAATTTTTTTTCTCACTACATTTTGACTAATATGCACTGCTCACTTATAACAGTTACTTTGATCTAAATAATTCAAATTACATTTGTTTTGTCAAACTAATCTTGGTAGTATCTAAACATAAAGAATGTTATTATAAAATCTCTTTTAACCGAATCAAAATCAAAGTTATCTCAAACATTAATTACTGCCTATTGCATCAAAGTGATTTATCCCCTAATTTTTGGGATAGGTGTTGGCATGTGGGGTATGCACTTTTTCTTTTGAACACTAAAGCTATGTTATCAAATCCACTAAACTGGTTTTGCTTCTTTTGATTATTTCATCACTCTATTCCAGAACTATCACATACTTAGACACATTAACTATTATATGTAAGGTTTTTGCTATCAACTTATAAAGGTATTCATGTTTTTATAATCTATTAGCTTGCAATATAATTTTTTCTTCCCTCCAAATGTGAAACGATGTACCTTATGTAGAACTACAACAAACTTTGATTTCCTCCCTCTTTAATTTGCATATATGTGCGGCCAATTTCAATTTGATTCCGCACTGCCAATAAATGAACTTGTTCCTCTTAGTATCCTATCCTGCATAAAATAAATATATGATGCATTATTATTGTTTTATTACAAAACCTGTGTTGTAGTTATTTAGAGAGATCTGTTTCTTTTGCTTACTATACCGTTTTGATCTATACACTGTGAATTCACGGAAATTAGATCTAAGTTTTTTTTTACTAGTTTAGCCTTTCGGTGGTCCATTTGGTCTGAGAGGGACCATAAAAAAAAGGACAAAATAATTCAAATATGACAGCATTACTCACCTCTTTGGATCTTTTCCTTATCTTGTTCTGTTCTAGTTTTTGTTTTTCATGAGACTACGAATTGGAACTGTGTCCTTGGATGCTCACCTCAGGCCATGCAGTTGAAATCAAGCGATTATATGGACCTGGTTATGAGAATAATTAATGTAAAACTAAGACTTAATATCATTACTCTATGATCTAGTCTTGGCCCACACAAATCCCACAAAGACACCGTAATTCTCCTTTTGTGAACATGGCCAGTTAGAATCCACACGCACTTTTCTTTTTCTGCTTTTATAAAGTGTGATGACCTTCATTATGCCAAAATCATTAGCTTTTTTTTTTTTCAATCATGCAAAAGTTCCAAGGCAGATTATTTTAACCACTTTGAATTGAATAGAACCTTCATAGTAAAGTCTGTCAGAAAATTTATTTTCTGTTAGCTAAATTCTCCTGAACTAAAAGGGAAAAGAGCACCCGAGTTTTAGGTTAAATGTTTGGCATTAGTAAAATATAACTATGACTCTACTGGGGGACAGTGGGTCCAATCTTTGAAAGATTTATCATGTGTAGTTTAATCAATTGATGTAGGCACAATGGGGGCACTTAAGGATGGGAGAGACCTTAGATTTAGGGATCCAACGACAACCACCGGACATATTAGTGTGGGGGCATAGCATTGCCACTGAAATGGGTATGAAATATCTTGCATATTCACAATAGATTTTCTGTTGGTTATTGATGGTGATGGATGTTTAGAATTTCATTGTGTCACATACTCTACTCTCACGTCATTAATAATGGCTACCTGTGCAATGATCTGTTATCAGTCTAATCAAACAAACAAAGATAAGTAATTCTGAAGATTACAACAAACATTTTACTACTATTTATGTCAGTGAAACTTAAAATTTCTTTTTTCTTTTTTTATGACTGTTATTTGAACTTCAACTCTAAATACATCAAATATTGTATAAAAGCATATTTTGACCGTTGGCTCCATACAAGACAGAAGGAAAAAAACTCACAAACTGCAGTCTGTGTTGGGATGAATGTGGAAGCCCAAAGAGACACCACATAAACCAGGTAAGATACCTATCGCTGTTGAATTTGGGCTCAGAGTGTCAATCAGGTCCATTAAGCATCTACAAACATATTGCCTATTATCACCAGTGTTAGCAATGTTGCTCACCCCAAACATGGCATCACAACAAGGTGACCATAGGTGATGAAGATGGAGCATGCTGAGAAAAGTTGAGTAATTGTGGAGCATTCTATGTATGAAGATACAAATGGGGCCGAGCAAAACAACATCACCAACCCAATTATTCTTAATGCCTTGTTGCTTCCCACACAAAGTTCCATCACAATATGCTTCTAAGGAAGTCTTTCTTTTCCCCCTTCCTTTTTTTTTCTACTTAAGGAAACTTTAAAAATAGTTAAGAGGAGTCCTTTCATTACATTATAAAGTTATATTATATATAAGAGGAGAAAATCTTGGGCTGGTGTGCAATGTGAAGCATGTGGTTTTCCATGAATATTTTATGAGCTTTGAGACATGCATGTAACTATTTCCAAAGATATTAGGATGATTTTTATTTATTAGTTATAGAAGCAATGATCATTGAATGGTGTCGTGGTGTAGTTGGTTATCACGTCAGTCTAACACACTGAAGGTCTCCGGTTCGAGTCCGGGCGACGCCATGTCGGTGTAGTTTTTTAACTTTGTATATATATATTTTGTCATAAGATAAGAACAAAAAAGTAGATGTAATTTGCACCCAAATAATGGGTGAGCCCAACCAAGTGCAAAGTAGAAACTATGAACAGACAAACAAATTAGGTGAAGACGAAGGGTAGAGTTAAAGGGAATGTGTGGTGATTCAGGTGAGACGTCCAACCAATGCGTTTTCACCGATTGCTTTACCACCTAATTTGTGTTATTCCAAACACATTATCTGTTTGATGTTCATGTCTTAACCGACGGATCCATTTTTCTACTTATTCTTTCTTACAAGACATTGATTGTTGGCCATACTTTGAATTCTACGTGCTTGTACCAAAATTGTGTCTTCCTTCCATTTCATCAATGATAACTGCTTGGTTACTTTAGAGTGCTTGAATTTAAATTTGACGCCCATGATTGCTTTAAAAATCATATAAAAGATGGAAACTGAATTCATATACAAGTATCTTTATATATCACATGCTATAAAAAAGAAAAAAGTTAGGATATATCCATAAAGGCAAACCAATTATTTAGAGCAAAAAGGAAAGGAGAAAATGCACAAAACGAACAAGTTTCTAAAAGCTATGGCTGTACACATAAAATAAATTGCAAGTGAAGATCATGTGCCCCCTCTCATTTAGCTGCCATTGCTGCATTCCCATTTAGAAGTCGGAACACATGTAAGGTAGCGACACCAATGGCAGTGATCATACCCTTTCTCACCCCGGAATAGCATCACCAATGCGATTGTTAATCTGCCATTGAATAAAAAATTTAGTCATTTTAGCACTATTTGTTTAATATATTTTACTGGCAAAGTGAATAAACATGTAGGAAAGGAAAATTGCCTATAAGACCCTATCATGTACTTACATACCAAATTAACTATCTCCTCTAGCGAAATCCTTACCAAAATAACAAAACATTCCTGATGAGGATTTAAGGAAGGAACTCACCCTGTAATCAACAGAACTAGAGACACAATCCATAGAACATATTGGTAGGCCTTGTACTTTGACTTCAAACGCACATTGGCGGGAAGACGACGCTGCTCTAACCATCCAAACTGAGGACGAGGCAACAAAATAAAACCAAGGAGAAATCCCACCAGGAATCCTCCAATGTGAGCAAAGTTATCTACGTGTGGCAAAATGCCAATGCCAAGGTTGATCACAATGATCACTAGCAGGGTGAGTAATGCCATTGCCTGCAAAAAAAAGGCACAATAATGAGTCAAAAATAAAAGGCGTGGTACTAACTGATGACAATGAGCCAAAGTGTAGAAGATTTGATGCGTCTCATATTGAAGAAAACTAATAACCATACAGAAACCATAAAGAATTAACCACACTCACCTTGTTGGAATATATACTCCAGTTTGTGAGAAGTTCAGACAGCATTGCGCCAAGAAGTCCAAAAAGGGCGCCAGAAGCACCAACTGAGATATGGTCTATGATAAACAGAGATGACAATACACTTCCACCAAACCCAGACACCAGGTATATAATTCCAATTTTTACTGCCATGAATTTGACAAAGGAAAATGTTAGGTCCATTTACATCGTAAACCTCGACCAAAAGAGAAACTAAATTAAGTTTACTGGGAAGGAAATGATAAACTCAGAAGCTCTGTTTTCCAGATTTTGCGTGACATTTTACTAGAGTGCAAGAAAACCATACCAAACCCGAATTGTTGTTCCAGACGAATGCCAATGAAAACCAGACTCAACATGTTAGCAAGCAAATGAATAATCCCAGCATGTAACCAAATGCAAGTGATAAGTCTCCATCCTTGATGCCCGTTCACAACATTATCCCACCGAAGGGCTCCCATCTTAGCCAACCTTCATAAGTCAATAAAGCATTTCAAATCAATCAATTTTCTTCAATAACACAATAGCCTATCATTCAAACTGTCACAAAACACCCTCATTGCTGGATAGATAAATATTCTTCTTTGGCCCTTTAGTAGAAGAGTATACCCAAGTCAAGAACCTAAACCAAACAAGTCAGCTACAATCATTTGTAGCTCAATACGTATCGAATAAAATAGAGTGCAACCCATTTCACATTTCTTATGAGTGACAACATGAAACCAACCAATAAACCAAACTGAGATTAATAGTAAAAAAAAAAAAAAAAACAAGCCTTTCCAGAAACAGGTCAATACACCAATTTTAAAGAATCCTTGAATCTTTCATTGTTTGGCCTTATTAAAGGGTGATGGAGAAAGTAGTCTAAAAAAACTTATACTACCTTATCATACAAAAATAAACAATGAAATTTGAAGAATATAATTCTATAGTGTTGTGCGTTGTGGCTAATTTTTTAAGACCCAAAAAATGCCATGGTCCTAGCCAAGTCAAATGATAGTTAATAACAAAAATGCGCCCAACTTTTTCAGCTCAGTTGAGGTATCTAAGCACGCAAAGAACTATACGTTTCACCCTACTTGGCTTTCTTTTCTTTCCTTCATTGCATATTTATTTATTCATGTAAAAATCAAATATATGAGTAATTATAAAATATCCCATTGCAAAGGGTCTTAAGGATATGATGGTTTTGAAAGCAAATTGATTACCCAAAGGGGAATTATTTTTTTTATCTCTTACTTTATATTATGTAGAATTACATCTTATAATCAGCAAGCAACATGATAAAAAAATCAAGTGAGGAGAGCAAAAATAAGAAAATGATGTCATCAAGTTCACCAATTTCTACCAAGGCATGAAGAGAGAGTCGTTTGAAATTTGAAATTAATCTTATAGAGAAAACACAACAGATGATAACGAAGCAATCGCTTAGCATACACAACATAATTAAGGGCACACCCAATTCACTAACTTGAGCAAAATTTTCCAAAAAAGCAAAAACAAAAAGCACCCGGGAAAAATAATCCCAAATTAGGTTCTATCCAAATTGAGACCAGCAATAAAGGCATATCAAAATCCACCCTAAAGCAAGGGATAAGAGCTGATAAAACCAAAAACGAAAGCAATCAAATAAATAGCACATGGTATTGAATAAAAACAAGCCATTGAGCTTACGTTGAAGAAGAAGGGCCAAGCAACGGATTCTCCTGCATAGGTTGGAAGGAGAACCTTCCAAGGAACTTGGCCACGCAGCCACCTTGGAGGCCGAGATTGTTCTTGGGACAATTGTTGATGTACATGGTAATAACAAAAACAGCAATATTAGCGACCACAAACATAGGAACGAGCCATGATGTCCAATGGCTCTCAGCTTCATAAACATGAGAAGATTCATGAGCAGAGTAGTTTTCTTCGATTCTGTTGTTCTTGGTTCCTCCACCGCCACTCTCAAGATCTCTCCTTGCCATAATTTCTCTCCTTCTCTAAATCAACCCAATATCAAGTCTCGAACTTTACTCTGTAACGGTGCTTTATAGGAGAGAAAGGGGTGGAGTTGGTGAATGGGTATAAAGTAGGGAATGAGAGAAAAGAAAGTACAAGAAGTTAGTGGTGGTGAGGCATTTCACAGTGTCATTATCTAACTGCCGCAGTAAGAACTTCACGTTACTTACACAACGGTTGGGTTAGGAGGGGTTTATTTTAGTTTCTAATCTCTCCCAAATTTTGATGCATGACTTAGATTTGATTATGATTAGATAAAAGAAAATTATTCGTAAATGGACAAGATGAAATAGAATAATAATCAAGGTATATTTATTATAAAATATTAAAGAATGTGGCTAATCCAGATATTTTATAATATATGTATATACAATATTAATAAAATATTCGTCGGTTGCTAGTGAGATATTACGCGTCATGAACACCTGTAATAATGCCATAAAATTTACGCAATCTTGCACTGATAGAAATGATGTGGCAGGTTCTGGTTGGATGCTGGGTTTGGATATTGTGGTGGTGGAAGCAGAGGATTGTGAGTTGTACGCGGTTTCGTTTCCGTGGATGAACTCAACTTCCCGGGAATGTTCTGTTTTGTGGCTTGGAAGGAAGCAAATTGGCTGAGTTTTGTGCGTAACGTTACTGACAAGCTATGTATGCTTTGTCCACATTTCTTTTATCATAAATCAAGATTTCTTTCATATCTTTTTCTTCAAATTTTACACCTTCGACAATAATTATTTTACAAACTTCTAAGTTTCATTATCATTTTTATTAGTTCACAATAACTTTGAAATATCCGTGAACCATGTACATGAACCAAATAACTTTACATCTAAAACATTGATTAAAAAGTAAATCAAAATTCATTTGTAGCCAATTACACACAAGTTTTACAAATTGAAACACGTTTGTTATGGTGTAAAAGTAAGTTTAATTGCACTCTATAAATTAAAAAATATATAATAATATTACTATTTAATATTATGTTAATTTTTTTATTGTTTTTTTATGTATGGATTGTGAAATGATGGTATATAAAAGCATCAATAAATATTATCCCTGAATTCTATATAAAATATTCATACAACTTTACTGAAAATCTGGTTCTGTTAGTTCAATTTATTTTTTTAAAAGAAAATGTGATATTAAACATATTTTATTAAATTAAAATGACGTGTGATATTTCTTTAGATGGTAGTCGAAAACCATTTAATATATTTTTAGTTGATTTTTATTCATTTTAAAAGCAAATTTTAGAATATATAATTAAAAAGGCCCCATGTGTTTCGACTTTGCGTAAACTAAAAAAAAAAAAAAACCAGTATGGAATGGGTGTGTTTCCGGAAAAGATATTTAACCTTATTGAATTTATAATGTGTGTTCTCATTTTTATAGTTATGGATAGTTTTTTAAGTTATGATGCAGTAAATAAAATGTCACGATAATGTTTATTGTTTTTCTAATAAAGTGTTTTAGTTTTTGTACATATATGTTTTAGTTATAAAATTATCAAAAATATATTTTTGACCAGATATATTTTGTCTTTCCTAATTAAATACTCATTGAATATCGATAAATTTTGTTGCTGCCTACAAATATAAAATATATCCATAAAGATACATATTTAAAATTAAAAAAATTGTACCCTCATTAAGAAATTAATTATGAAGAAAAAAATAATTAAGAAGACATAATTGAACTACCCAGGTTCCTCCTGAGAGAGCATGTGCGGAAATTTTAAGATATAAGACAAATTTTTATTTATTCGAATATAATGCATCAATTTTTCATTTTATTATTCTAAATTTTAAATTAGTTATGAAAACTTTAAAATCAACACAGTTTAAACATTTCATATAATGAGAACTCATTCGGGTAAATATTGGATCTAAAATTCAATCTAACAAACTATTACTACGTATATTTTTTTATACAACGATAAGAATTAAAAACAGGTAAAGAAAAATGACAAGTATAACGCCCACAAATCTATTCAACTCGCTGCTATTTCATTATTCCAAGACCAATTATGACATTTATTTCTTCAAAAAAAAAAAATAAATTACGACATTTATGTGAAATAATATATCATAAAACTTCAACACATTTAAATAATGTATTACGAGGAGAATCCTTAAATGTATCAAAAGAGTCACGGAAGAAAAAAGAACCATGCTTTCATCTTGCCCAAAAGAGATGGTTTTAAAACAAAACTTATAAAACAATGAATGTGCAAACGCAAAAGTCATAGTAAAACCTATGGCAATCATCAATTGGTTGGTGCCTTCTCAATTTTCATCATGGTTCAATCGCAAAGATCACTCATTTGGATAAAATGAGCATGATCATGGCGAGGGTACACATTTTTTTCTTTATTTATATATGGAAATGAAGGACGCTGATTTCATTTATAATTACTCACTTCAACTTATATTAATTAATATTTTTAGCTTAAGCCTTTGCTATAAAAATACCTTTTGAAAACTTTTGGTAAATATAGAAGCAGAAAAATAGCCAGATGCCGCGCCATGAAGAAAAAAATAAATTGTGTAAATAAATATCCTTATACATTAATAAATTTTTAATTCACTAAAACGGCATAAATTATAAGATTTTTTTTTCCTAATCGACGAAACCCTATCGAACCTAATTGTTATACTCAAAGAACTCAAAATCACATCAAATCAATTTCTGATATCTACACTCCCCTTTTTGTTATGTACAAAATTTTTTCTTTTGTTTAAAATTATTTTTTTATTTTTTTATTTTTCCAAAAACTTTTATCTCCTTTGCACCCAAGTACTTTTATTCTTTGACACTTTTTATGTTTTTTCTCTCCCTATCATACTTCTTGTACCATAAAGATGATTCCGAACCTTTTATCCCTTTCTTCCGTACGATAATATATTAATCTTTCATAATTACATAATCATTTTTATATTTCTATTTTTATTAAATTAATTATTAGAATCATTGTTGGAGCGACAAGACTCAATTGAAAATATCTAAATCTCATAAAGACTAATTAAAATTAAGTTTTTTTTAAATTAAATTAAATTAAAATAATTTACACTCTCTTAATGTTGTCGTCCCTTCTTTTTCTCAGGGAACTTTCGCCCTTTCAAAAATTATTTTCATAAATGGTTTTTATATTTTGAAAAGTATTTTATGAAATAATATTTGAAATGGTAAATAATAAAATTATGTTCTAGAATATATATATATATATATATATATATATATGAAAAGCTTTAAAAATCCTCTTTACAACATAAAATAATATAATGTACCTTTTTTAAAGTTTTTTCTTTTTAACATTTCGTAAATGACGCTTTTTATTTTTTATATTTGGGAAAGTACTTTAAAAATATGTTTTATGCAAAATATGTTTTTGGAGTGTTAAAAAATAATAATATATTTTTAAATAGTAAATTATCTTTGCTTTGCAAATTATTATTTAAAATGTTATTTCCGTTTTTGTGTTTCATATAGTATTTAAAAAATATTAAGAAAATAAAAAAAGCGGTTTGATTAACTAAACAGCGTGATGTGAATAGCAGGAGCTATATTTGTAGGAGTGAAGCCCCAAAATCATAAATGAATTTGACTTTGACGTTTTTTAATATAATAAAGTTAGTTTTAATTTTAGATAATCTTTAGATCAATTGATTAATTAACGAATTTCATTTATAAGCTTCTATAATTTTTCTAAATAGCGTGCACTCATACACCTTGAAAACAACCATATAATGATCTGTCTTCAATCTTCATTAGTTTCTTGTCCAATAAATACTTACGAAGAAAAAATGTCACTCTATATATAAATGCAAGATTTAAAATATTATATGTTTTTATTTAGACAGTTTTACAAAATAGTTTGAAATAAATTGAAACTGAAATTAATATTTTATCATGTTGTATAACTTAGTCAATTAATTATTTTCACAAATAAAAAACATGGGATTATAATTCTTAAATAATGTAAAACTTTTATTTTGACACTGGTGTGTATGTTTTTTAGTGCAATGTTTGTGGTAGATCAGAAATGGAAGGTGTGTGTAAGTGGAATATAATGAACTAGGGATTTGGGTGTTTTATGTAATATATTGGTTTTCCTTGCTAAAAAAACAAGCAATTGAATTCGTGAAATTAAGCATTACAAAAAATAATTAAAACTTGTCATCAACTACATTATATATTGTACTGCTTTCTTAATGATATATCACCTGTGCATCAAAGCTGTGATGGTTCTATGTCACATTATTCACTTAACTATCACGTATATATCATTTAACTTCATTAATAATCAAAAAGTGTGTCATCCATCATCTTCTTCAAACTTTAATTCCTTGTTATCTCGTAAACGAGACAAATGCAATGTGAAACTCTTAATAATTTTCTAGGTCTTCCCATGTAATATTACGTTTTATGAAATTATCACTTTCCTAATTTTTCAAATGCATACGAAAGTCTATTAGATTTGTATTGTATTGATCAATTTATTTATTATTTTTTTAAAGACATTTCTTTATATAATAAATAAAAAAATATTTTCTTGGATTTATATATAATTTTTTTAATGTTTTTTTATCAATAAAAATCATTTTTAAATGAAGAATAAATTGAAAAAATTAGTAAAATTTTACATTAACTAAGATATAATTATATTACAAGATACAGTTAAATATAATATTATTTTTATTTAATCAATTTTATAAAATTAAATTGATTTGAACATGAAGTTTAATGTTAAATACCTATGAACATATATGTTGGACATCAAATAATTATAATTAATTGATATATATTGAGTTGGCCAGGTCTACGCAAAATGAAGTTCATCTTTCCATAAACAAATACTTTTGCATTTCAACCCTTTTACATCACTCTTTTATCAGTTTTCAACAATATTAGTTTTGGAATAACTATTTGATCATTTTTCTTTAATCTCTTGACTCTCACTTAGCATATAGTTTCTAAAAACATCCCCAATTTTCCAATTTTTCAGAAAAGAACAAGGAATGAAGTGGTTTGAAAATCATCATTAATTTCCATTTTTATCTTTATTAACAGATTTACAAGTCTTTTAGATGTTAAATTGCCTTTAATTATATTTTGACCTTTTGGCATTCTAACTTGTGCCAATTTTTTAAATTTTATTTCCATAAGTCTTCTTTTTAAATCAAAGATTCAAGTTTTATTAATCACTCATGAATATAGTCTCATATTTTTCTTACCAAATTTAAGTGTTTAAAAATAGTTTTTTCATATTTAAATATACAATTCAAATTTATTATATAAAAATATATATAAAAAAGAATTATACTATATTTTTAAAAAGATAATATATGTAGTTTGATATATCTTATAACTTATTATGAAATAAATTATAAAATACAAATATGTTAATAAAATATTTTCAATGTATATATAAATTATTTTTAATTAATTTATTAAGTATTTATTTTATATTAAATTATGTATTATTTTAATTTATATTTATATTTATTAAAATATTATAAAAGACATTTTAATCATCTCTTAATAATTTATTTTCCTATTTAACTTTTTAATAGATTAAATCAAACTTAATAAATATTAGTTTTTATTAACATTTTTATTTTTATCTTTTTTTCTTAATTTAACTCAGCATTATTTTTATATTCTCTAGATTTGTTCGCAGTAACTTTTGGTGAGAAAAGTGAGGAATTTTCCCGTCTTCAATCCATACATATCCTTCATTTTCTTGAAATGACCTTAGAGTCCATGACCCTCGACATCTTATTGGTTGGTCTTGTGTCTTATGGTGGATGATACACACCTGAAAAAAAAAAAAAAAAAGCATTCGAAAGGACGGACCAGTAGATTGACAATAGCAACAGCGGACGCATGGCGTGTGCACGCGCTCCATGTTGAGTTGTGATTGGTGGCGGACATCACGAACCCCCTTTTCTAGCATGGACCCCATACTCTTATTCTATACATTGAAGATAGAAAAATAATAAGTGTAGAGGGTAACCAGAGAGAGATGTGGTTGAAGAAGCAGCTATGTTATTAACAGGAACTGCCACAAAGGGGTTTGGAATCTAACTTAGATTCACCATCAAAGCAAAATCTGAACCAGTTTTTTATTTTTCAGTTAGGAAAAAACAAATATCTTAGAGGAGAAAACCATTGACTTTCCATTGCCCTCATAGTTCACTGTAAGTCAGCTCCATCTTTTTTTTTTAATTGTTAATAATCAACATTTTATATAGATGTAAACTATTTTATTTATATTTTATCGGTCCCTTTCTCTTCCACCATTCTTAATAGAACTAGCATGTATCAAGCTTTAAGAAAAAAAAAAAAAAAAGATAGTAAGAGAAAGAGATTTTTACCTTTTAAGATTTAATGTTTTTGCTGTCAAATTTATCAACCACGGATTGGATTATTTAATTTAAAAGAGAAATCATAACTTTTTAGGCTGTGGAACCCAGTGGCTCTGTTTGTTTTTTTTGGCTCTTTTACTTTGCACACTGTCAAATTTAAAGGTATCGTTTTCTCCGTACCATGGTTGGTTTGTATACCATCTAACCTTCTCCATTTCTCAGTTTCTCACTTATATTAGTGTGGGGTGGAGAGAGAAGAGAGAGAATGACGGGGGTGGTGTCAACTGGTTTTTTTATCTTAGATTTGGTGTGATGCATTTGAAAAGTCAGGGTGGTGTGTGAATATGACTGAGATTAGATACTTGTGAGATAAGGTTTTATGGTTGTTGCTGTCCTCTTTAGATATATATGTGTGTGTGAAAAGATTCTTAATTTTTGTTTTATATTATTTTTTCCCGAGGGACGTTTTGGCTTAGACTTCTTTGGATTTTCTTCTTGCTGGGGTCTTTTTCAAAATTCTCAATACTGACAAAGAATCGGTCAAGTGTGAAATATAGAAAAACAAGGATTCTTCTTCTTATGTCACTGTTTTGTGTTTTTTCTGCTGTTGGGGTTGCAGACATGAGATGCAGGTGTGAACCTTGGATCAGAAAGGAAGGGGATTTTCTTTGTCTTGTTGCTCTTTCCATCTGTTTTAGGAATAGCCTTTTAGCTTTCTGCTAGAGAGAGAGAAAGGGGTGTCGACAAGGAAACAACTTTTTGGCCTTGTCTACTTTTTCACACAAAAAAAAATATTTCAATTTTGTCAGTGTTTAGCTCAATCTGGGTTAAAGGTCAAAAAGTTAAGCGTATTAAGGAGTCAAAAAAACTGAAAAAGTTCCTTCACAAAAGTGACAGGGACAATTTCTGGTATAAAATAGAAATAAAAAAAGAGAAGAACACGAGAGTCAGCAGCATGGGAGGAATAGAAGCACAGAAATTTTTGGGAGATAAAAGGGAAAGGGTCAATCCATTTTGTTAAACCTTTTGTCGGGTTTGAGGCTTGAGGGTTTGATTAACAGTTGCAGTTGGGGTGCAAGAGTTGTTGTGACTGATAATTGTTTCTCAACCCGTTTCCTGTTCAATGCAAAATTCATCTTCCTTCTCCTACTCAACTGTATGGTTTTGGTCTCCATCTCTAAGCATCTTATTTTATTGTTCATTTCTCTGTTGGAGTTGAATTTGATTTACACATCTTATTATTCATCCCTCTGCTCGCTGCTGATGAAGCTATTATTATATTCTACAGCAAAGAAAAATGGAGGGCCCCAGTGAGATGGGTCTCATTGGGGAAAATTTTGATGCTGGTTTGATGGGGAGGATGAGGGACGATGAGTATGAAAGCCGTTCTGGAAGTGATAACTTCGATGGTGTATCTGGCGATGATCAAGATGGTGGTGATGATCAGCCACAGAGGAAGAAAAGATACCACAGACATACTCCTCACCAAATTCAAGAGCTTGAGTCGTATGGTTTTATGAAACTTAGTGGCTTTACTTTTTGCTAGTTTGCTTCTGTGATTGAATATATGGTAAGTTTGGTTTTTGTTTTTTGGTTTTGCTTTTATTGGGTTTTAGTTTCTTCAAGGAGTGTCCTCATCCTGATGAGAAGCAAAGGTTGGATCTCAGTAAGCGGCTTGGCTTGGAGAATAAGCAAGTCAAGTTCTGGTTTCAGAATCGACGAACCCAAATGAAGGTGAACTTTAGGAAAATAATATAGAATTATTGCACTTGAATGCTGTTTGGCGATTCAATTTAGATATTGTGCTGATTGAAGTTATTTTTCTTGAATCAGACTCAACTGGAACGCCATGAGAATATAATGCTTAGGCAGGAGAACGATAAGCTCAGGGCTGAGAACAGTTTGATGAAGGAAGCCATGTCAAATCCAGTGTGTAACAGCTGTGGTGGCCCGGCGATTCCTGGCCAGATTTCATTTGAGGAGCACCAAATTAGAATTGAGAATGCTAGACTAAAAGATGAGTTGAACCGTATATGTGCCTTAGCAAACAAGTTCCTTGGCAAGCCAATCTCATCACTGACCAGTCCCATGGCTCTCCCAACCTCAAATTCTGGTCTGGAACTTGGCATTGGAAGGAATGGGCTTGGTGGTTCAAGCACTCTTGGCACTCCCTTGGCAATGGGACTTGACTTGGGAGATGGAGTGTTGGGCACTCAAACTGCGATGCCTGGGATTAGACCACCATTGGGGTTGATGGGAAATGAAGTTCAGCTCGAGAGATCTATGCTTATAGATCTTGCATTGACTGCCATGGAGGAATTGCTAAAGATGACTCAGGCAGAGAGTCCTCTTTGGATTAAGAGTTTGGATGGTGAGAAGGAAGTGTTTAACCATGACGAGTATGCAAGGTTGTTTTCTCCTTGTATTGGTCCAAAACCCACTGGTTATGTAACTGAAGCTACAAGAGAAACTGGGATAGTAATCATCAACAGTTTAGCACTTGTGGAAACTTTGATGGATGCGGTATGACTATAACTATCAACTTTCAAGCTAGACTAAGTGAAGTTTAACCTAACCGATTTTAGTTTTCTGTAGTGAATTGCCCTTGATGCAGCGATCAAAGCAATGTTACTTTTTAGGAGAACACTTTGATTTGGTGCTTGTGATCTTAATTAATGGATTGTGACTATTTATTTAATCAAGAATTGATGCAGGTGTGTTTAATATCTTGTTTTAATTGGTTATTTTTTTTAATAGAATCGATGGGCAGAGATGTTTCCTTCCATGATTGCTAGAGCTATCAACCTCGATGTTATATCCAATGGCATGGGTGGAACAAGAAATGGTGCTCTACAAGTGGTGCGTGTCTTTGCTGTATATTTGCTTCATTTTGTCTTGGTAGTTGCTGGAACTGACGACTAGGATTATGCATTTCAGATGCATGCCGAGGTTCAGTTGCTTTCACCACTAGTCCCCGTTCGTCAAGTGAGATTCCTCCGTTTCTGTAAGCAGCATGCAGAAGGTGTATGGGCTGTGGTTGATGTTTCTATTGATATTGGTCATGATGCTGCTAACGCACAGCCATTCATGAGCTGTAGGAGGCTTCCTTCTGGCTGTATTGTGCAAGATATGCCAAATGGTTACTCTAAGGTAAGTTCGATCTAAGTTCTTTTTATGACTATTTTCTTTGCTTTTTAATCTTTGAGGATATCTTCGTACTTCTTTTCAAGTGAACTTTGTTTTGACTGATATAAATAGAATAAGGTTGAAGTTTGCCTGAGAAACCAGTCTGGTTGAGTATTTTTTATTTAGGAGATTCTTCCTTTAGTTAAATCTTCTAACTTCAGAGAAAGGGTTGCTTGTTGTCTGTATTTAATTTGTCCAGTGCTGCTCCTAGAGAATAGTGAATCAAGGCTTATATTGTTTAGCAATAGTTTGAAACTTCGTTTCTGTTTCGCATCTTTTCCTATTTAAAAGCGCATGAAAATTTTAAATCTTGGATTCTTCAGTCTTTTGTCGTATAAACAAATACACTTGATGCTTCTATTCCTATCTCCTTTGACATAAGACGTACTATTTTTTTACTGCATACGAGACCATAATGACCTGGATCCAGTCATATGCTGCTATAATATAGTGCTGACAGGTGATGTGTTAATCCGTGCCCTTTAATATATTAATACAGGTTTTATAATATTAAAAAAATTCCATAATCTGCTAACTGTGTTGGGATTCGCCTCTATCCCGTTGACGTCTGCTCCAATTTTGACATTTTACATATCTACAGACTTCTTAGTTGAGATATTAATTAATAATTAGCCTAGGGTTTTATGTCAAACATTTTTTATGTATTTGGAGTTTTACGTAAATTCAATAATAACCCTTCTAATTTTATCCATGACCACGTCAACAACGTTTGATTACTATAGATATGTTCGGATAAAAGTTAAACATTTTTATGAATTGCAATGCACATATGTGAATTCCAAAACACAAAATAAAGAAAGAAAAATTTGTTATTTTTTATTTTGCACTCCTTAACTAGCATACAAACATATACTACATTGCGTAGGGATTCTTATTCTTTACATAGCAGAACCTTTGCTTGTTTTATTTTTATTTTTTTGGTCTGATAGAAAATAAGTTGCGCTGTTTGTAGGTTACTTGGCTTGAGCATTGGGAGTATGATGAGAGTGTTGTACACCAACTTTATCGCCCACTGCTAAGTTCTGGTGTTGGATTTGGTGCTCATAGATGGATCGCCACTCTCCAAAGGCAGTGTGAATGTTTGGCTATCCTCATGTCCTCTTCCATTTCAAGTGATGATCACACAGGTACACATGCAGGCCACATTTTGTTTTCCTTTACATCACATGTAATGTAATGTAATGGTGTCACACTATAATTGTGTAAACTTTGGCATAATGGTTTTGCAGCATTGAGCCAAGCTGGTCGGAGGAGTATGTTGAAATTGGCACAACGTATGACTAGTAACTTCTGTTCCGGGGTTTGTGCTTCTTCTGCTCGCAAGTGGGACAGCCTTCATATGGGGACTCTTGGTGATGACATGAAAGTGATGACTAGGAAAAACGTGGATGACCCTGGTGAGCCTCCAGGGATCGTGCTTAGTGCTGCAACTTCTGTTTGGATGCCAGTGTCACGGCAAAGGGTGTTTGATTTTCTGCGTGATGAACGGTTGAGAAGTGAGTGGGACATCTTGTCCAATGGTGGACCAATGCAGGAGATGGTACATATTGCCAAAGGACAAGGACATGGAAATTGTGTTTCTCTTCTCCGTGCTAATGTAAGTGGTTTTCTTAGGTACACAAGTTACATACAACATGATGAAACATTATGCACATGTTTTCTTTATCAACATTGGCTGACACAAATGGTAGCAGTATGTGTCATAAACGATTAAGGAAACAAAAATAAAAGATAATTATCAATACAAAAGTCATAAACACTTGTTGTTGCATGTTGATATGATTATATGGTGCCTGATTTGTAGGCTGTTAATGCGAACGATAGCAGCATGCTGATTCTGCAAGAGACATGGATGGACGCGTCGTGCTCAGTGGTGGTATATGCACCAGTTGACGTGCAGTCACTGAACGTGGTGATGAGTGGGGGAGATTCTGCATACGTTGCACTCTTGCCTTCAGGCTTTGCCATTCTTCCGGATGGTCATGGCAACAACAGCAGTTGCAATGGGACAATGCAGAAGGGCGGTGGGAGCGACGAGAGCGGGGGAAGCCTTCTGACAGTGGGGTTCCAAATTCTGGTGAACAGTCTGCCGACAGCAAAGCTCACAGTGGAGTCAGTGGACACTGTGAATAACCTCATCTCATGCACCATTCAGAAGATCAAAGGTGCTCTCAGAGTTGCATAAGCATGACAACCATTTTGTTAATGCAAGTTTAAGTTACCTTACCTTATTATTTTGTGGTAATTTTTTTCTTCTAAGGAGAGGGTTATATTATTTATATTTGGTTGGGTCTATAGGATTTAAATTATATAGGGTAGTGGAAGAGGCTGAGGCAGAAAGGGTCGCGCAAGTAAGGTTTCGAGTCAAGAACGAACCGCGATGGAGGAACTTCACTGTGCTGCATTGCATGCACTGCACCAACACTGTGCTTTTTCTGCTCATAGTGGTTCGGGTATTGACTCGTTCACCTGCGAGTTACTCTCAGCATCTTGTTTGGATAAAGAAAATGTGTGTTACTATTTTATTACTAGTGCCCACCCATCCTTCATATTACACTTGCAAATTGCTGAACTAATTTATTTTACTTGGAATGCATTTTCATATTTTAGTCTCTTTTTTTTTTGTATATATATATATATAGGAATGCTAGTATTTGGTCTAAGAATTATTCTAATCGAGGGATAACTATTTTTTGTATTTATTTTTTTCACGATCAGATTTGTAGGACGATAAATGATGCATCAATGTAGCGCATGTATAAAACTTTTAGACTCCAAGTATTTATAAAAGAAAATTATGTTACTCGAAGAAAATGGATTGAATTTTGGGTAAACAGACTAAAAATATATTTAATATCTATGTAACACTTCCTAAAAAATGAAAATCCATATATATATATAATACCCTATTAACATTTATATTAGAGAAATAGATCCATGTTTGTGGAGAATTATTAACACTTTCAAACTGAATAAAAAGTATTTAAGACTATGAAAGCAGGTAAATAACTAAAATTTTAAGTGAGAGAGTTTAGCTTGAAATACAATAAAAGAATCTTTTGCGACATTTTGTTTGGGCCAATATTTGCTATAGACCTCCAAATGTATACACAAAAACTCAAGCCCATGATGTATATTTATAAATGCACCAACAAAATTCATGTTATTTAATAACTCCCCATCTATTTGTCATTATTTACCCAGACCCCCCTTACATGTGATTATTCCCCATAGAGGGTAGACAACCAACGACCAAGTTTAGCAGCAAACCCAAAGTACGAATCTTGTTTCCACATGGTTCCAATATCATCAATTTTTCAATAGATGATATTTTACAGATGTACCTACACTATATTATTTTTACTTTTTCTGGTAGAAGGTCACAATTACTGAGTAAAAATAAATGGTAATTAAGTTCAATGCTCAAAATATTGTTCTGTTTCATGCAGTCATATGCTATTTGCAAACAGTGTGGCTGGCATGGAAAGAATTTGCTTCAGTGCAGCTGCTATAATTAACTTGTCAATACTATTGTAATTGTTTATTCTTAACGCACAACACATCTGTATGCTTAATATTTCAATGCTTCCACCATATTCAATTTTACGCATAAAGAATACTATTGTCTGAAATATGATGGGTGGAAAATCTGTACCACAACCAACCCTCCTGATCATTTGTAAATCAATTGTTCAGGGTATTAGCCTTTTAAACATTGGATTTTGGTCAATAAAAACCAGGGTTTGTTTCACTTGGTCATGTCAAAAGGTGTCTTTTTCTTGTTTACTTGATCAATCTTCCAGCTAAGTTAACATGTTTATTTCAGTTGACACAAACTCATGCTGCTTTTGCCAGCCGAGACAGTCAAATTGATTCGACTAGCATACGAAGCTGTCATCTGATGAACTCACTAGTAGCAGACTCCTACAGTCTTGAATGATATTGGGTGAGTTCGGTATATGCCAAAATATGAGAGGCTGGAAAATGGACATGATATGAATAATATGATCTTATATTCCCTTCAAAATTAAAATACACTGCCTTTTTCTACCTGCCTATTTGAATTCCTACCGAACACACAACTAGTGCTTGTGATGTACAACCTGATGTATTAAGAGATATGCAAGCACAAAAAGATGCAGACATTCAGATTTGACATTGATGATGTCCCATTGGACTACAGGGGAACAAAGTACAATTAACTACTATGGTTGATGTTAAAATAGTTTGAAGGGTTGGTGAATTAGCAATGTCAGGAAACTTATTTAGCTGTTTGTGACATTGAAGTTCCCAAAAAGGTTCAAGCATAATACAAGATCGAGTCTCCTTTAAGTGAATCAGGTTCATCTGTTTCTGAAGAAAAGCATCAGTTAAACACAAAGTAGTTTCATTTCATCGAAATGGTCTCCTAGTATAAACTATAAAGGCATTGTCCAGGAATAAAATAATTAAATTTTAGTGCAACTTCTTTTCTGAGTTTCCTTTCAAGAATCAACAGCTGGGTATCCAAATTTTAGTCTACCTGGCAAAACAAAGATATTATTAAGACGCATTTAACTTGGATTCTTTATTTTGGGGGAGGGTGTGTAATAGACCCCTTTCTGAGTTTTCCATTTAAGTATCAAGCTTTCCACTTTAGAACACTAATTTGGACCAACATAGACAGTTGTTTTTCGAGGATTTTTTTTAATGAGCAACTGTTTTTGGAGTCATAGCATAGCAATCATGACGTCACAAATTGAAGTGTGAAAGATGTTATTACGGGTAGATGGCTTCACAGGTACACAAAATAAAAACATGTCCCACTGGACAGAGATGAAAGGTTGTGAAGTGTTTGCAATCATCCCTATTCACTACTACCCTCGTTGAATAATTTTTCCAAGTTGAGATAAGAGGATTAATGCTTTTCCTACACTCTGACTGACATGTTGTTGCAAGTCAATAGTAACCCATGGAAGGGGCATCAAGTTCCCATCTGCAGCAAATAATGTGTTTGAGTGGTTGAATGGTCTTTGAAAAGTCTTGTGTCATGTGGACCATATATTCAGCAACAAGTCGAACGTTAGCATTCAAAGAATGAAGCGTAGCTTTATTTGTTGGGGCGCCGAGATATAATGATCCTTAAATGCACTAATTATCTGTCATCTAAAACCCAGCTACCCCGTGTGCTTTGAGTTCTCAATTCATTGCAACACTTGGACGCTTGATCATCATCTTTCATTGCCTACTCTCAATATCAAGTAACATTGTATTATCGTGTACTCTGAAATTTCTGACATCTCTTCATAATGCACCTAATTAAGAGATAAATCTTCTCATCAGATTGCAGTAGAGGCACCCCGAATTGATACCCCACAAAATTATTCGGACTGGGCTTATAGTTGTGGCCTGCTTTGCCATCTGACACATCTTATTGTTTATGACTTTTATATATACACTCCTATCTTCTTCTGTTTTTGTCAGAGTCCATATTATGATGCTATTTATCGTTTGAACTTTATTTGGATACGCTGTCACTTAAAGAATGTGTGAAATGTAAAGCAGAATTCAACGCGCTCTAAACTCAAATTAAACCACCATAAACCATGTTTGGGGTTGTACTTCAAATAGTTCAGCCCACAAGTTTAATGGACTGGGATTCTCATTTTCTTTCCTTAGTCAGACTAAAAATAAGCTTTTAGAATTTAAATAATGAATTCTTCAACACCCATTTGCTGAGCGCTTTGTAGCAGTTATGATTATCACAAATTGTAGTAAGCAGATTTTTTTTGAAACGTAATATTTAGCTAAATAACAAGTGATTGCGTATCTGATTTCTATAATTGTGGACTGACATGTTTGTTCTTTATGTGTGAAGCGCAACGAAGCTGAAAGAGAAAGATGGGAAACAATAAATATATGAGTATTTTAAGTATAAGAGCAGGCTACATTTTCTTTCAGGAATCTTCTTTTGGAAAACTGGTGAGGTCATCAAACCTAACACAAGACAAGAATAACATATCTTCAATTTCCTTACTACTTAATTAAGTATATTAATTATCATGATTAGGCAAAGCACTGTTAGAAAGTCAATGTTTCGGTGAATGGCGAGACCAAAATATTTAGGCCATATTATGATTAGGTTTTTTTAGGCATGACTCACGAGATCTATCTTGTGGCCTTTGAAAAATTTGCAAATTCTTTCATGGAAAAAAATCTTACAGAACGGGACAATCGGAACGTCATCGTTCTATCAAATTGAGACTTACGTGGTGGGAAGAAATATAATTCAGTAGTTTCTTTTCATCACTCAACTATTTTTTATCACTTGTCGCCTTTATAAAAAGCTTCTTTTATTTAAATAACGAAAAATGGACACTTCAATTGCGTAGGAGCGTAGTTATTTTTTATATAATGTTATTGAAGTTGTTCAAGACATTTTTATATTTTTAGAATAAGTAATAAAATATTATATTATTATTTTAAATAATAGAAGCTTTAGGATAAATAAAAAAAATTGTTGATGAAATAAAAAAGATAAAAAGAACGAATATTCTGATAAGAAAAAGTCTTATAAAGAAAAATATTATACTTAAAAATAAGTATATTTAGAAGTAATTATTAAAAAAATGACAACGACACAATAAAATTAAATGAAAAAGTGATTTTATATAAGAGTTAGAAATAAAATAAAAATAGAAAAATATTAAAATTTAATGATCAAATTGAAAAAATAAAAATATTGAAAATATATGTTTTATTATTTTTTATTTAAATTAAGTATTAAGATATTTTATATTATTTAAAATAAGAGTAAAAATTATTATATTATTATTATTTTAATTTATATGTAATTAATATTAAAATATTGCTTCATATTTTATTATATTTTTAATATATATATATATATATATATATATATATATATATATATATATTACAAGAAACTATATATAAAAAATATATATTTAAAGTGGATTATTTATCAACTTTGTTGTTACTAATATATTTTTTTAATTTAATTGATATTTTTAGTATAATCTCTTATTTCAACTATATTTTTATTTGTATAAATTTTAAAATATAGTCTTAAAAAAATATACTCCAATTAACTTGTTAATTATATAATCATTTTATCTACTCTTTGAGAATAAAATAATATTTTTTCATAAATTAAGAATGAAGTATATACATGTACTAATATGG